ACCACAGAAAAAAATCAACAAAGTCCTTGTGTAATGTGTCAAACAGTTATTTGCGTTTTGAATGTCATTCTAAAATCTCATCAGGTTTGCGGATAATATTTTTATTTTTATTTATTTTTTATAATATATATATATGTATATTTATTTCATAATTCTTTTCCATATAAAAAGAAGAACGAAAAATTGGAAAGAAATTCGGCTTTCGCAGAAAAATTCACGAGACTATTCACGAAGAATATTTTTATTAACCGCGTCGGATTCCTTTTTATACAGCAGTCTTTCAAACCGGCGATATCTCCGCGTGTACACGACGCGCTCACTTCTCGTTTCATTCCAAAAACGTGATCCGAAAGCGGTATCAACGCCGTCCCCGAGTCTCTCTCTCCTGGCAAAATTTCTGGCAAAAAAAAAAAAAAAAAAAAAAACAAAAAAAAAACAAATTCGTTTCGCCAGAAGCACGTGCCGTTCCTGTCAAACAGACTGCTCCGATAGAAGACACGATACGTTATCAACGCGCTATCGCCCGATGATTGGGGAGATGGGGGAGTGTATATAAGCCTTCTTTTTCTTTCTCTCTCGCTTATCTTTAATATAACTTCTAACAACCGCGCGCAACTTTTAATAACCTCGCTTGCGCGTTGTCGCAGTTAAGCTCGTCTTCTTCTTCCTCTTCCTCTTCTCCTCGCCTCGACTCGATACAGCTAACACTTTTGCGCTTTACTTCTCTCTCAGCAGGAGGGTGGTGCGTTGTCGATGACGGAGATGAAGAAATCATTGAGCTTCGATCAAATGCCCCATGGCGGGAACACCTAGCACAGGCCTCATCTTCATCTTCGTTCTCACCAACAGCAGCAGCAGCAGCAACAACAACAACAAGCGCAACAACAACAACAGCCACCGTGCAAAGTCACCTCCACGCGCACACGTCACACACACTGCCACTCACATTCACACCTACACAGCCATCATGCGCACAAACACCAAGCACTTCCGCCGAGACAGAGACGGGGCTCTTCGGGCATCATCTTGGGTCAAGGTACGTTGAATCTCGTCTATCTCTCGGCCACAAACGCCCCGATAGTCCCCAAACCTATCAGTACGCTCGGTCGAGCGTTATCCTTGATCGTTACGGTTTGCATGATTAGTTCGCAACATCGTGGATGCAATTGTAACAAAGGGATATTGCAAAGAATGTCGAAATGGAAATGTGTCTTTCTTACTTTCGGTCACACGAAAATATCGATTGATTAGTTTGAAAAAAAAAAAAAACACTAATGTTTTGATGCAATTTTCCTATTGTTCTCTCAATTTTTTCTTCTTACACGTATTCTTCTTCACAAGGAAGGCTGGACTGAAAGTATCTTTACTTTCGGTCCAGCGAAAATATCGATCAATTAATTAAAAAAAAAAAAATTATTGCGATGCAATTTTTCCTCCTGTGTACCGGAGTTTGGAGAAATACATTCGGCCGCGAAAAAATATTATTCAATTCTCTATTACTCTCAAGTTTTTTCTCTCATTTATTCGAATCGGTTTGCGCTCCGATATCAGTCTGTGTATTTTGCACATTATTTTATTCGTTTGAAATAAAACAAGAAAAAACTAGATCGCGGGGTTTAATAACAGTAGCAGAAATTCAGGAAACGTAATTTGACGTGAAATTATCTGCTCTGCATGTATGTTAGGAGGTGACCATCCTGAGAACATTCTCTGGAGATTCGATTGCGACCTAGCGGGTGAACCGGACGTGGTAATTTCGCCGCCTCCCCCGCCGCCACCGCCGCCCTCGGCGACGGTTTCGAGGACCACAACCCTTTGACCAATACTCGAGGAGGTGCCGACAGGTGTACCGGCCCAAAAGGAACTGCCCACACAAGCCTCCGTGGTCGTTAACGTCGATCAGAAGGAGACGTGTTTATAGCGCATCTAGTCGCCGGGGCGGGTTGGTAAACCGCAACGAGGGCCATCCCGCGCCGACGACGATGTCATCGACGGATCATCAGCGATCGAGAGCGTGCAAACGTGAGGCGTTCGAATCGATCGATTTGGACGTGAAATACATCTATGAATATACGGTTGACTGTGAGGTTTTCTTTCGCGAGACACGCGACGCTAAACGTTTTGTGAAACGCGTTTCCGCGTTGTTTCAACGGAGCGGCGCGGCGCGTTGCGATTGTTGTGTCCAGAGAATTTCACGGCGTTTCGAAATTTTGCGAACCGGGATTACACGCCGGCACGTATGATATCCCGGGGACGTATCGATCGTGACCGATGTCCGAACGCAAGAACGTGCATTCCAATCGGAATAATGGAAACTACACGACCGGTCATGTGCGTTTCACCGCGTGAAAGAGGAACGACGATAGCGTAAGCGAGAGAGAGCGAGTGATCCTCCCGGAAATATTGGGAGGGGGAGGGGGGGAGGGGAGGGGGAGTAGATGTTTGTGAATCTATGAAGATAACGGAATGTTATGTTTTGCATTCCTCGTAAACCGACGGGAATCGCACGCGTCTGATCGCACGCGCGAATTGAATTCGGGGATTAGATCGAAAAGTATCGGTGCGTGAGTGTGTGTCACACACGTGTATCAATCGGAATAATGGGAACACACACCGCGCACATGTAAAATGGAAACGTCGCCGCGCGTGCAATTGCCAGTTGACCTGGAATTGCTCGTGTTGTTTCGAAATTTCCCGAAGCGACAGCTTCGAATCGAGAGAGGAAGTTTGTACGAAGTATCCGAAGCGATCAGAACCGACGACCGCGACGCGACATGACGTCTAAAACGCGAACTCGACACCTCGGAAAATTCGATATACACTATCATAATTTTGAGCCAAACATATCGAGAGCAAATTTAGAGATTTGACGAAGCTCGTTCGAGGAAAAATTTGAGTTTTTATTGGAAGTTGTTTTATCGCATTTGAGCGCGCGATCGCGAGATCTCTAGAAAATTTACTGATATAGAAACCGATAAATAATCAAAGATAATAACGTCAAATTTATTCGCAAAATAGCTGGTAAAAGTGACCGATTCGCGGGGTAAATACGTAAATCAATTCGAAAAATTGTATTTTTGGTTCAAACGCAATTTTCTTAGACGCGGTTCTGTATAAAGCGAATACAAAGCATCTCAAGTCGACGCGCGTACAACACGCGTCTTAGCAAAGAACGCGTTCGCTGGAAAATGCAGTTTCCGACGGACGATAATAATAAATTTCGATTCGGAAATATATTGTTGCAATACTTGCGGGATTTGAGCGGTTTACTCTCCTCTTTCTCGCGAAGAGAGAAAAACTCGCGAGAAAGAAAACTGCAAAGCGAGCGAAATCGATATAGATCTGAACACAAGAACGCTGGACGGTTTAAAAACCCCTCGACGATTGTATCATACGACTCGGACCAAATTCTCACATTAGTGATCACACTGCCACGTTCAGCTTTTAAAGAAAAAAAAAGAAAAACAAAAACGACGTAATCTAATAATTTGGAGCGAACGCGCGATTCCGTTGATATTGCTTTTGCGGAGAGAATACATAGTCGCCGCTTCGTAAAAGTACGTTAACGGAATCGAGCGCGCGAAAGTCAGGGGCGGAGCAAAATTTTCACTCGCGTACAAAATCTGCAAATTTTAATAAAAATTCAAAAACAGAACCGATCTGTTGTGCGTCGGAAAGAGCGCGCGTTGTTCGACCTTTCGAAAAACCTCAATGCTTTATAATTCGCTTGGCGCGTTTTACCGCCGCCCCTCTAGTCGACACGACGTTTATTAAAATACAAAATCGATAGCATCTCCACGAACAACAACCAATTGTATTATATATATAAGACGACGGACACGCCACTTGTCGAGAAGTGATTTATAAATCTTTTGTATAAATATATATGTGTGATGTGTATAAAACAAAAATTATACTTAACGTAAATATATATGTATAAATATAAATATATATATGTACATGTATGTATATGTCGACGTGTGTACATAAGCGGGGTATACGCGCGATGAGGGTGAGAAACTTTTGCGGAGCGAAAGCTGCGTCAGAGGAAGAAGACCCAGTCGTATTTTGACACAATTGAATAGTTTATATTATCAATTGACGTGTGTACAGCGTGTGTTTTTCACGACAGAAGAAAGAGAAGAAGCTCGACGGTTTTTATCCACACATACATACACAAAGACACACACACACACACATACACGATATCGTGATACGCGTTTCGTATATACTGTGAATAAATTTAATTACTATATGGCTGTTGAGAGGAAAACAAAAAGAGATTATATCGTGCAGCAATTTTATTGACACGTTGTTAGCCGTGATGTTTGAGATGAGAAGAGCGATTCTATGTGTGCGCGACGAACACACTTGACATAAGCGTTTCGCAAAAAAAAAAAGAAAATGAGAAATAAGAATGCAAAATTGTGTGAAAAACGCGAGCGAAATATACTGCCACTGTTTAAAAAAAACTGACAGGAAATATTAACACAATCTTTTTTTTTTTTTTTTTTTCTATTCGCTAGACACAATGTACATCGCAATTTTTCCGCGCGTATTTTTTTCCCACACCGCACAGAGAGAACGGAGAGACCAGAAATTTAATATCAGACGTTTAATTCGAAACTCGCTTGTTTGTGTTTCGCGCGTATTACTCGGTCTCGTAACGTTTCGAGAATCTTTACACGCGGACTATAAAAAAAAAAAAAGTTCATCAACCATTCAACGCCGTTGAATTTGTATGTATGAAAATTTCCAAAAGCATATATATATATAAAAACCCGATATGATACGGAGTTGAGTAATACGCGGTGCGATAACGGTAACGATTATTACAACGATTACGTTATATGACGGGTTTCAGTTTACACACTGTTTCTTCTTTGCATACAAAATATATCGAAGGAGAGAATAATACGAGCTCAACTCTCGAACAGAGTGACGATCTATCGGAGCGTTGTGAAAACTGTGTTGTCTGTAGAAAAAAAAAAAAAAAAAAAAAAAGGAGAGAAAAAAACAAGAACGAATATATTTCGTCAACAGCGAGGACAACAACAAACATTCGAATACTTTCTCTACATCGAAATAAAAACATTTGAACACTGATTGTACAGTATTTAATAATGCTGGGAATAAAACAATTTTAAAGCTCGTAATAAACGGCTCTCTTTCTCTCTCTCTCTCTCTTTCTCTTTTATCTTTATGTTAAATTAACATATTTTTGAAAAATTATATTTTACAAAAATTATATTTTATAAAATTTAAAATATAATAATTACATTTCTAAAATAAAATAGAATTTAGTGGAAAAAAGGAAAATTACTAAAATCGCTCTAATAGAATTAAAAACCAAAAAACCCGTTTATCTTATTATCGTTCGTTCATTCGCGATCGATGCGAAATCGTTTGTTTATTACTAATCTCATTGTACATATGTTACATACATTTGCTTTTCCGACGTGGATCCGCCACGGCAAAATATCACGATAGCCGCATCCAATCAATCTCAACAATTCGCGATCGCGTTCGACGGATTTCGAGGAAATAATGTTTCATCGCAGATCTACAATCGCATATAATCCGATATCCGTGGTACAAAGCAGATAAAGCAGTCTTCCGATGCGAAATATGCATGATTGGACAATACTGCATACTCGCTCTCAGATCTGCTCTCTGCATCCTCTAATCGGGTCAGAGGTTTGTCCGACGATAAAAGGCAGCTTTGATTAAAGGACGTCTATAACGGACGTCGCAAGTATTAAAAATTAATCGATATTTTTATCAATGTGCATTATAATAACGATAAATTGCTTATATTTATTGTCTAATTATTAATTATTTAAAATCAAAACGCGCAACGCGTCGATTATAATATTAAATTTAGAAACGCGTAATATCTTTGTTTTGAAATATGTGTATGATAAATATTGTGAACTGTTTCAAATTAATTACGTCGCTCTTTGGCATTATAAACATCATTAATTTTACATCACAGTTTTGCGCAAACCAACCGAGATTGATTATCGTCGGAAATAGATAAATGTCGTTAAAAAAAAAAAAAAACGTTCATTGGAGAACGTCATGTCGTTTTTTTGTGTTTCTCATTTCGAGAAACGAATCGGCATCGCAAATTGTCGGGAGGAAGGGAAAAAAAGGTGCAAATCGTCGGGTTCGAGTATAAGTGGGCGCGTTACATAGTCGCGCGCCATATATTGCGTTCGTTTAGCGCAGTTCGCTTCAAAGAGAGTGCGTTAAAATCCAGGTCATTTTCCGACAATTGTGACCAAAAAAAAAAAAAAAAAAAAAAATAAAAGACCCGGGCACACGGAGCGCACTCACGCACTATGGAATGAGGCTCCTGATAGCTTTCAGGAGCACATGCTAACCATTAGCATGTGTAACGTAATTTTTACAGTCGCTCCCTTGAAATATTCATAGTATACGCACCCATAGAGAGAGAGACACGAGCTTAAAAACTTATACGCACGCGTGCGTGTATCAAACGGGCATCTATTTTATATCGAAATCTCCCGAATTGTGTGCGCATCTACGAGTTTTACGTTGCACACATTATGCAAGGGAGTGGGATGTATATCGCGTCGAACGATGCGAAGCAATTCTTGTACAGAAACAATTTCTCAACAATATTGCTTTACAGGAACTATAAAACGAACAAGTTTCTTTGTCGCGTTAAAAGCAGACGCCGTCGACAGTATCGACATTGTTCGCCATCATCTCGACTCGACGGTTTCTTCGATAAAGAGAAGTACTTCTTTTTTTTTTTTTTTTGGACTTTTTGCAAATTGAATATATTTCGTCGTGTAACATTTGTTGTAACATGTAACAAGTTAATGCGTTACTTTTTAAAACAAGAGCTCTGTGCCATACCGTGTGCCTTTACATGTTTCGTTAGCGCAGGTTGGTATTTGAAGAGAAGTGTTTTGGGGATTGTCAGAGATGCGTACAATATTGCGGTTTTCTTAAAGTGTAAACTTGTAAGATATTGTGTTAAACAAAAAAAAACCATGTTTTTTACCGTTTGAATATAGAGAGGCGGAATGTACTTTTTCTCTCCGCGAAAGTTCGAAACGATTCAACGACGTAACAAATTCTGAATGCCACTAACATTCGACCGAACGTCGGCAGCGTTCGATGGTTTTTGAGGTTCGCAAAAAAACGCATTTCGCGAATTTTTCAAATGTTTGACCGAATTTTAACATTCGCCGGCGAATTGTAGCGAGCGTTTCAACAAATTGCGCATTCGTGCGCGTTCCGATATTGCGACGAAATGTTTGCGCATTCGTTCGCTCTCGACATTCGCGGCTAATTTCGCGAATTCTCTCTCCTTTCCGCGCGCGAACCCGCGTGTGTTTAATTATTTTTATATTCACGTGCGCGAAAACTAACAAATTTCACGTAACAGCGATCGCGTGTGCGTAAAAATTTTACGAGGGACAAGTCACTGATCGGCGCGCGAGAAAAAAAAAGGTAGTTTTTCCCTGCAAATTTAATCTTCCATTCTCGTAGTCCCGGAAGAGACGCGTCTGTCAGTTTTCTCTTTTTTTCTTTTGCAAGTAAATCGCCGATAATTTATACGTACACATACAAACGTGGACACATTTTACCGTTCTTCGCATTCACCGATCCTGTAGCGCCGCGATACTCTCGCGTTTTGTTGACGCGAACTATATTACGAATCACACAAACCCAGTAGATACGAGATACCATGTGTATTTACGACTTTTGCTCGGTTCTATTCCGAGCTATAAACAATGCGCGTGAATGAATAATTTATTAAATAAAAACTGTATAATTTATCGTATGCAACGCACACGCGCGCGCGTAAAACCAATCGCCGTAATAAAATGTTCACGGTCAGAGATTCATAAAAATATTTTACAATCTTTATCTCTATTTATTTGCATTATTATTATTATAATAATTATACGTGTATACAAGAGAGCATAAGTATCAATATTAAATTTGCATTATACATTAAATACCCAGCACCACGTATTAAATGTTGCAAATATGTAAATATGTAAATATAACGTTATCTTTTTTTTTTTTAAACAATATCAAACACATTTTCCTCGTCTTCTCGAAATAATTTTCTTCTCTTCTGGACTTTCTCGACTTTTACAAGCAGTCTTAAACACACAATTATAATTTCATATCATAATTATGTAGAAATCTGTGTGTGTATGTGTGTGTGTGTTAGATATAGATTTCTATTGTGTGTAAAATTTCTAAAGTAATAAATTATTGTTTTCTAGACAATAATTTGAAATAATTCATGAAAAATGATTCAAAACTAAATAACTTCTCGTACTTATCAGCTAAATTGTGTTTCCTTTTTGTCTCCGTTTTTTTTGTCTCCGTTTCATTTGTTAAGGCAGGATGGCTCTCTACATTGTGTAATTTGGTTTTTCTTGCTGCATTACGTTCCTTCATAATAAATGTATATGTCAAAATATAATTTAGTGCCAGTAAATCACATTATTTTATAGAATTTAATTATGCAGATTTAATAAAAATTTAACTTTAGTATGTAGTATTATGCAGATTTAATAAAAATTTAAATTTAGTATGTACGTATATAAATGCATATAAGTAATAAATACCAGAAAAGATATTCTTGCATTTGAATCTTCTAAAAGACGTTTGTATTCACTAATTTCGCTCTTATGATCATAATTTTGCAACATTAATTGCTGTTTGAGCTTGTCTTCAAATTGGGCTACTTGCTTGCGCAAATAATCAACTTCCTCCTGCAATTTGAGAACTGCTCCGATTTTATTTCACTTGTTCTCAGTTTTCTAAATCTTTGCACTAAATCTTCTTATTTTGTAATTATATACATATATTTGCACAATTAGTTATTTTGCACGATTTTGTTTTTTCTTAAATCTTGTAAAATTGTTTTGAAACACTTTTGTGTAATATTCATAAATTCAAGGATTATTTATCCTTGAACAATTGCCTCTGTTTACTCGCATGTGAGATTGTTTACAAATTGAAATTGTATCTGCGATAGAACCGTTTTGTCGTCACTTACCTTTGACGTCGTTCGTGTGTTCGGCACGTTCGCGTTCAAGTTTCACGTTGGCCAAGTCGCGCTGCAACTCGTTGTTCCTTTTGTTCAGACTGTCCAAAGACGCCTTGTACTCGTCCTCACGTTTGAACATCCAACAGAGTAGTTTTTTCATTCTCTCCTTCAATATTTTCGACTGCTCTCGTTCGGATTCCAAGATCTTTCGCTGCTCCTCGCTGAAAGCATTTAGCGCGACAAGTTTCTGTAATAAAACGTATAAAAGATTTGCTAATATTTTGGACTCTCAAAAACGCGAATTCGATGAAACGTGTTATAAGTGCGCATATTAGATTCTTTGAACACAAGCAAAGACGTTTACTCACATCACGCATTTCCGTGTATCTGTTCAGAATGTCCTGAAGGTCAGGGCGCAATATCAGACTGTAAGCCATCGCGCGTGATTGCTGTCTCTCAAAACAATCGTTTACTTTTTCCACTCTTCTTGTTACTGATAACAAGATGCGTTGAAGTGACAGCAAATTGATCTCGAGAAGCGCGGTAAATGGCACGAAAAATGGCGCGTACGATCTGGTTTTAATTCTCGCGCTACGTTAGATTTAAGAAGGGCTGACAATTCAACGGCGCGAAAGCACCACTCAAACATAGTTGCCAACTTCTCGCGCGCAACTGGTAAGTTTTTCGAGAAAACATTGGCATCCATGACGGACAACGTTCGTGATTGGCGCGAATTCCGTCGGAATTGCCCAATCGGTCTCCGTCGATCGTGCGAATTGACCAGTAACGGTCGACGAACCAATCCCGAATCGACCAATCGCGTCGAGTCGAACGGAATCTCCGGCCGCGATCGCCGAGTAACTACCGTTGTGACGTTTACGTCATGAAAACAACACCGTAAAATTTTCTGATGCAATCCTCGTGAGCAGCGTGTGTCTCGCACAGGGAGCGAGAGCTGAAATCATTTTGTTACATTTTTCTCACATGCTTTATGTCGCTTAAGTTCGCGATAAGCAGAGAGTTTTCTTTATTGAAAAAAGCCGACGATAAGCGACCAAAAAAATGACAGAAGAGGATTCGGTACGTAAAATGCAAATCCAATTTATAAATTTAATATAAATCCGGCGGATCAATTTAAATGCGAAACGCGATTAAAACATTTTGCTGTTTCACACGTGTCATTTTTACCGTAAAAGTTGCGGAGCTACGCTCTTCTTTGCCGTTTATAAGGAATTTTTAGCGGCCAAATATTTTGAAAATAGCGTATTGTCGATCCCAACCTCAAAGTATTTCTCTTATCACGTGCCCAAATGGCACATACGGAGTGGCACGTCCACATTCCATAATTCACCCATTTTCTCTTATTGTGTTACCGAGTTTTTAAGATGGATAAAGCAGTTACATTAAAATTACATGCAGTTGCATGTTGTTACATTCTTGTAGAATTGCTTGTTTTTACAGCTACACTTGTATATAATTCAAATTTACAAAATCCATAAAATTTATGAAAATAGTGATTTTAGAAAAACCATAAGAATAAAATTTTATATCGTGCCATTGGCAAATGTGAATAATAAATGTTACTTGTAAAACGCAATGCTTAGGTGTTTGATCCAACTTTAAAAAAGAAAAAAAAGAAGAAGAAAACAACATTTGATATGGATTCGGCTTTCAATGAGGGTGGTAATAGTGGAGATGTGGTTGAAAATGCGGACAAGGATAAGGAAAATCAGGAGCCAGAACCAACAGTCATTGAAGAAGATGAGGCACTGGACTTAGAAAATTTTGGTAAAAAGAAAAAAAAGAAGAAAAAGGCATTTAATCTAGATGAATTAGAAGCAGCTCTACCTGATACCAAGAAAGAGGTAAATTGATTAATTATAATCTGGTTTTTTTAATCAATTGTTATCTATTTTAAATACAAGAAGTTGTGATAATCTTAAACTTGGTTTTATTTTGCAATAAAATTAACTAATGTGTGATTTGTTTTCTCTTTATAAAAACAATGTACAAGAATTGTGCATTGATATTGTGTCAGTAAGAGAAGCAATGTGGTATCTAATATGATCTATATTTCAAATATTTTGAAACTCTGTGTGTTACTTGAGCAGGAGTCTGTGGAACAACAAATTGAAGAGATTACTGTAGAAGATGACTTCAATTTGGATATGGACTTTTCTAAAACAAAAAAGAAGAAAAAGAAGAAGAAAGATCTTGATGAATTGGTGGCTGAGGAAGAGCTTAAAGAAAGAGAAGACAAGGAAAATGGTATGTATCATAAGAAATGATTTTATGCCGAAATCTTTTTTGCATCTAGTTGTTTATTTTACTCATTATTTGTTAACATGCTGCACTGAATCTGAGCGAAGTGCAGAGTATGGTAAGAAATATGTTTGGTGTTCTCTCTAATCATATCAATCTTGCACTTGATTATTCTTGCACCTACATACTTTTCATACAGCAATAAATAGTTTCTTTGAAAATAATTCCATTGTTTGTAAGACTAAACTTTATTCCTAAAGATAAATAGTGTACTCGTTTTAATACATAATGTAAACAACATTGATCAAAAATATTTGTCATATTTTTTTAATAATTAATGTAAATAAAGTAATGTAAATAAGAAGTATTAATCTGAGATAAAGTTTTTGCACTCTTTAAATTTAATAATTAACACGTTAATAAATTTAATAACTTAATAGTTTTTTGCATTCTTTAAAGTTAATTCAACAAGTGCATAAAGTAGCAAAACTATATGTATGTGTAGGTGTTTGAGTAGTTAGTTATGATGAAATATTTTTATTGTATTCCTCATAGGCTGACATATAATTTTAAAAAATTTATAAAAGTGTTTTACAAGAGATACATAAAGGGAGCACAAAATAATAATGACAATAACAATATGTACATATATGTATTTTTTTTTTCTGTATGCTTTTCAAAAAGAATTTCCTTAATTTCACGTGACATTGTAAATATCATATATTACTCTCAGTCACACTTACAGTTCATTGGTATATTTTCACATTGAAAAAATTGATAGACTAGCAACAAGTTTTTCTATCATTAATCAGTCGTTACAAATAGATATTTTTCTTCTCTCCATAGTGGAGGAGCCAAGCTTGTGGGTGGGTTCCGACAGAGATTACACATATGATGAACTATTAGATAGAGTATTTAACATCATGCGGGAGAAAAATCCGGACATGGTAGCCGGTAAGAAACAGAAGTTTGTCATGCGTCCGCCACAGGTAGTACGCATTGGAACAAAAAAGACATCTTTTGCGAATTTCACTGAGGTAGGAGATAAAACTCATGCTTATAAGTGTTTTTTTTTTTTTTAAATTCTCAGTTTTTTAATTATTAATAAATCGATATATTTTGTAATATATGTATAACACAGAATAAGATCTATTGCTAAATAATAATCTTGCAAATATTTCTGTTTGTAGATTTGTAAAACATTGCATAGGCAGCCAAAACATTTATTAGACTTTTTGCTGGCTGAGTTAGGTACGAGTGGATCAGTTGACGGTAACAGTCAATTGATCATCAAAGGACGTTTCCAGCAAAAACAACTGGAAAACGTTCTTAGACGATATATAAAAGAGTACGTTACGTGTCATACATGTCGTTCGCCTGACACAATTCTTCAAAAGGATACTCGCCTCTTCTTTTTGCAATGTGAGACTTGCGGCTCGAGATGTTCTGTTGCTAGCATAAAATCTGGTTTCCAGGTAAATTATTTTTTTAATTAAATTTAAATATAATATTTTATAGTCCTCAAAAAAATATTACTAAACACAGTATTAATATGTATGTATGAGGTAGAACAATATTTAAACATTATTTTATTTTTATATTACAGGCCGTCACAGGAAAGCGCGCTGCTATTCGTGCGAAAACTGCCTAAGCAATTTTCTCCACTTAAGAAAATGCTAGTGCAAATAAAATTATGGAACATAAATAATAAAAAAACAAAAAACAATACAGTGATTGCATCTCGAATTGATTTGAGTACAGGAGTGTAGATAGTATTAGCTCGTCATAAAAATTTAATACCAATTCTAGTATGAAATGAAATAAACTGGCTTGGGCTGCATATATATGTGTGGATTTTGTGTCAAAACAAACACACATACATATGTAAAGATCCTCAGCTTCATAATATGCTTAAACACTCAATTGTTTGCATTTTGTGAATTATTATGAAAACTATGTAATCTCTTGTTTTCAAAATTTTTTATTCACAAATATTTTGATCTTTTATTAAATTAGCGTTATTTATAAAATTTGTTTTCTCATCCAGAAAAATCTTGCGGAACACGGTGGATCAGCGCAATAGAAAGAACATTTTTATTAAATAATTTTATTAAATATAAATTATGTATATTTATATCTACTATGTAATTCAACTTTAAATTCTTTTGTATATTTCTATCACTCCTTTCCCAAGGATGGTAGAAGACTAAATATGTATAATAATAATAATAATAATAATACTAATTGCAATAAACAGGAAACCGATATGAAACTTATACATGTTTTTATGTACTTTAGAAATAATGCAAAAGATTTTAAGGTATAAGAATTATTATTTAATTAATGCCCAATATGCATAAAATTTATAACATTATGAAATTTGTAAACAAAGGAATGTTAATTTGGCGATTTATAATTCATAGTATTACATTTGTATACAATATTAATAAATATGCTATACACATGTTGCAATTGCATTCTTCTAATATCGTTAGATTGTTTGTAAAAATGACGCGACATCGTAACCGATCGATCTCAGCAAAAGTAGATACAGCTTGGATATCCATTGCAGAAGATTGTTGCAACTGAAAATAAAAATAGAAAATAATTATCAAAATCTCTTTATATCACGTAAAAACACATTAGACTCAAATAAAATACTTTTGCTACAATTGTTATTTAATTTTTTTTATGGTAAAATAATATTGACTTTTTTTAGAGATGAAATGCTTTTGACATCTTTTTAAATTCTTTTTTTTTTTACAAAAGAGATTACACATTTAATCATTTCTGTAGATTCTTTACTGAACACTTACAAGATACGAATTTCAAAGTGTACAACGCTGCAAGTCCTCGCGATTGTTTTGTAAAAAGATTGTTTTGCGACTCGATATTTCCCACGTGTCGCAATTCTTGCCATTATCCTGTACCGATTGACAATGTCTCCGTGATCCTTGACGATAGCGCGTATCATGTTCAAGTTTCTAAGACAACGAACACCATCGAGAAGATATAAAGTGAAAAGAAAATTGAAATAAATTGATATAAATTATATCGCATTGGAATTTACCTGATTACTAGCATCATATTCTTTGGCATTGATTTCAATATGTCTGTTATTTTATCGAATCGATTTTGCACTGTTTGTTTCATATAATTTTCCAGCGTTACGTCGTTCGGACGCGTCGCGAAAGAAACTTGATACGGTGCTTGTAGTAGCATTTCTGCTAGCAATGCATAATCTGAAACAACAATCAAAATTCGAAAAAAGAGAAAAGTTTAATTTAACACTACTTCTGAAAATGCTGTTTGAGTAAGAAAAATTACAGAAAAAAAAAAAACAGTTGTGTGACACACTCACCCGTCACGTTCAAATCACTCGCAAGAGCTTTCAGGGAGTTGTTATTTCTCAGAACCATCGATTCCCAAAACTTGCACAAAACGTGCCTCGTGTTGTCCGGCAGGTATTCGTACAAGCCGTGATCCAGTAGCACTATTTGCGCTTTTTTGTCTTTTCCTTTTCGTACGAGAACTAAGCGAGTTAAGATTGTCGATTACTTAAATCCTCACTATAGTTAAATCGAATTACAAATGTCTACAGTGAACAGACGAGGAATCTTAGCAACGTTTGCGAACTATATTGTTGTCAAGAATGTATAATATGATTAAAAAAAAATAATACCGTTTCCTGGATGTGGATCAGCGTGCACAAATCCTGTGTGAAATATTTGCTCGCCCATTAGAGCGATTAGTTTCTTGTCGACGTCCGCGATATCCAATCCCATATCTTTGATCCCCTTCACATCGGTTACTTTAACACCATCGATCCATTCCGTCGTAAGAACTCTCTGAAAGCACAAAAAAAAAAAAAATTACGATTAAAATCGTGGAAGATCAGTAATTCAAATTACTCGAATAACACAATTGATTTTGTGTGAATTATATTATCGGATATATATTTTATTAATTAAAAAAAAAGTTAACCAAAACAAGAAACTAACACCTTAGTGGTGAGATCCCAATAGACTTTCGGTATATGTGCAAAGTCGAATTTCTTCAGATCTTTAGCACATCGCTCTCCGTTTTTCCCTTCGTTCTCAAAGTCTAGTTCCATGTATAAAGTATCAATTATTTCCTGCAAAATAAAAATGAATTAAAAATAAATTTTTGTAAACAATAATCCTACAATAGATTTTTATTAATCACGCGAGACAAGAGAGAGTTACAATAAATATGCGGATATTTGCGGATAATTTGTAACAATATTAACTTTACATCTAACACCCAGTACAGGTCGAATTTCGGATGTATCACCGTAACTGCTTTTAGCAGATACATCATCGCTTTTAAATCGGATTTGAATCGGTCCTGAAGATCGATATATTGCACTTTGATCGCTACTTCGTCCCCATCAAGAGTTACACCTTTGTACACCTGTTTAAAAGAACAAAAATGACGAGGTGAATCAACACGTCAGATAAAACACGTAAATAATGGTTGTAAACATCTGTGCGACGATTTTGTTAAAATTTAATTGCAACAATAAAATTGCGTGTACACGTGTGTACATTTTGTATTTTTAATACCTGAGCTAAGCTGGCAGCCGCGACTGGCTCAGGTTCAATCTTACGTAACATTTCTTCCGGATTCTTATTAAAATCTTGCAGAAATATTTCTTTCATTTCGTCGTTCTCTCGGGTCAGACATTTGTCCTTTAATAAGAACGTCCAAATATTTACCGCGTAATTTATTATTATATTCACACACGCAGAAATATACACAAAATCATATACATATACATAATCTAACCGAAATGTATTTGCAATTTCAAGTTTAATCTCAACTCAAATATATTCGTGAGAATATTATACCTGCAACAATGACAAACGTTCCGTGTATTCTTTCGGAAGGATATGATTGATCGCCGCCAAGCCCTGTCCGACTTTTATGTAAATTCCACCGTTCCGCAGACAGCCCTCAACGATTCGGTCGGCGGATCTTTCGTGTATCTCGGAATCCGTGTAACCCATTACAGGCGCGATCAAGTAGTCCAGAGATATCGTCAAACCGATCTTCAACGATCTCGCAAATCTAACGCAGCTTCCCGCAACGCTCCTCACCGTTCTCTTCTTCCGTGAAGGTAGAAGAGCGTAACTTACGCTCACAAGGGCTATCCCTGCGACAACACAATCGTTTCTTGTTTATCTCCAGATGTGACAACATTCTGTGTGTGAAGTTCTTTAAATAATATTAATTATAAAAATACACACATCAATTATAAAAATTGTTTTCCTATGTATATTATTCTCTGTTACGTAAACAAGTCCGTATATTTTGGAAAATACTTGCCTGTGCCCACGTAAGCGATGCGACTTGAGAGAAATGGACTGGTTGAAAGATATCCGAAGCGAAGTCTCGTTCGCAACATTGTTGGCGGTTGATCGCGAGCTGACGGATAAAATAACAAAACAAAAAAAAAACGGATAATAATAAACAGCAGATTCAACAGCAGAAGCAACAATTAGAAGTCCGACGTTATTCAAAAAGGTCCGCCTTTTTGCGTGGTGGGGATGTCGTCCTTGCGATTAGAAGAGCAACTCGATTGTCCTCCTGTGTACATAAAAACAAACAGAAATTTGAATCTTATCGGATGTGTTATTTAGAAGACAAAGAAAGATAGGAGGAGGAAGAGAGAAGGAGGAAGAGGGAGAAACCCGTATCTTTGTGTTGTTCATTTGGACTTGCTGAATCTTTCCTCGCACGCGCAATCTTAAAACACACTCGATTTAACGCACACAATAATCTTTCGTTATCGAGAAATACGCACTTGAGCGAGATAAAACAACCGATCACGCACTGTTACCAGCGCATGTTAACGGCCTAGCACGTGAACAGTTTGGCTCGGTATATCGCGCTCTGGCCGTCGTCGTCGTGACGACGCTGCGTCGTTGGCAATCGTGTGCGTGCATGTCGCGGTTGTAAAAACGTTCGCACACGATCCAGTTGCGCGCCGCCGCCGAGAAAAATGTTGAGATTTCGAAAATTATTCCCGCGATCCTGCTCGATCATAGGAATGGTGCACGTAGGAGCGCTCCCTGGTACATACATATACATACACACGCATACACACGACTCGTGTCCGCACATCCGTGGAGCTCGATCTTAGCAGCCACGTGCGCGAATATCAAAAAGCATTTGTATTGAATTAACAACAACTCGGTGTAGTTTCCGACCAATGATTTGAATAACAATTTAGATTAGAAACAACGCGTTTCAGGAACGCCGAGGTACGGAGGATGTTTTGAGAAGATCGCGACGGACGCGGTCAAGGAGGCCCAGATATACTCGGACTGTTGCGTGGTAAATTTTTAACAAATACTCAGATAACATCACATCGGGAGATATCTCAAATGAGAGATACACAACATTAAGCAGACGGTCGAGAGATCCACGTCAAGAATAATCAAAGTCTCTTTTTTTCTATCGTAACTCTCCGTCGGACATATCTGTTGTTTTGTCAACAACATGTGTACGCACGGCATTTTTCAGGACGGCATTCTGTTGGAAAATATGCACGACGTTCCCTACGTGAGGCACAAAGACCTGACGCCAGAGGTCACAAGCACAATGACGAAAATCTGCACGGAAGTGAGAAACATCGTGCCACGTGATATTCCGTGTGGCATACAGGTAACAGAAAATCCGACGGGATTTTTGAAGATATTATCTCTCCATGTTTGTTTACTTCCCAGAGCTGAAACTCAAAAATGTCTGTTAAATCTGATAGAGAGATTGATTCGGCGCTGCTCATTCGACGGCTCGCGCGTAAAGCTCTCTCGAGCCGCTTTCTCAATTATTTATGTCAACTAATGAGAATTTCAACTAACCGCTCGGATATTTGTTGTATGTTATTTGCGATTCGATCGCACACATAGATTCTCGCGGGATGCAACAAGGAGGCGATCGCGGTAGCCAAAGCCGCGGGGCTGCAATTTATCCGAGTCGAAGGATTTGTCTTCTCCCACGTGGCCGATGAGGGTTTCATCGACGCGATCGCCGGACCTTTGTTGAGATACAGAAGATACATAGACGCGGACGACGTTCTTGTTTTCGCCGATGTTAAGAAGAAACATAGGTGAGAGAGAAATAGAGATCTCTCTGTCCGGAATCTCTGCGTTGCCAGACTCATTTCGCTATTTTATTTATGTCGCGAAAATAAAACTTTCACGTGAACGCGGTTCTATTTTACGCGTCGTCTTTTTTTGCAGTTCGCACGCGATCACGTCCGACGTTAGCTTGTCGGAAACGGCGAGAGCCGCGGAATTTTTTCTAGCCGACGGTGTCGTCGTAACCGGCACGGCGACCGGCGAGGAAGTTAACGCAAAGGACTTCGCAGGTGCGTGTATCTTTTGTACATACATGTATCTCTCTTTATAAACGCGTTCGTTGATTCTTGCGCGTTTCTCTACGCGTCAGGACGCGCGTTTGTAACCGCGGCACGAACAAAGGAGTTTGTCGTAAAATGGAAGGAGATCTGACGCCATGTTACACACTTTTGCAGAAGTGCGCGTCGCGACGAGGCTGCCGGTGCTGATCGGCTCGGGCGTGACGTTAGACAATGTGGACAGCTACTACGCGGCGGACGCGCTGATCGTTGGATCGCACCTGAAGACGAACGGCCGTTGGGAAAACGCGCTCGACCCGCGGCGAGTACGCGCCTTCGTCGGGCATTTAAAAAGTCGACGACAACAAACAACGACGCGAATGTAGCGAGAAAGCGAAAACGCCGTGGAAAGAACCACGTCCAGCGAGTAGTCAGCCAGCCCAGCCAGTTACGAAGGAATCGGCAGCTGTTCGACCAGCTGACCGAACTCCCACCTTCGATCGACTCCGCGCTCGCTGACGGGGCTGAATTCTGCACATGTGCGAAGCGGACGCTTTGGCGCCCGGAGACAACAAAATACATATATCGATCTACAAAGGAAATAATTAAGAGAATGTTGAGGAAAACTATTGAAGTTCGCTACGTATATTTTTTTTATCTACAAAATACGGACTATACGCGAAATTCTAAACGCTCTCCTGATAAATTTTCGCATTTTTTTTAATAGAGAGATAAAATCAAACCGGTATTGAATAATTTATTTCGAAACTAGTCATCTTGTGTTACTCAAGACTCTCTCTCTCTCTCTCTTTCTCTCCGCGACTCTTTGCTGACGAGATAAAAGATTACGCGTGACTTGTAAATTGAAGACTTAAGTCTCAGAATATAATAAAAACATGTATCGCAAGTTACCAAGTTGGGAAATCTAAAAGCGGAAATAATCGCGAATGTCGATAAGTCGCTTTTGGAGACGGGCACGTCTCGGCGCAACGTAATCTAAGAATAATTAAAATTGTCATATTAGAGAGAGAGAGAGAGAGAGAGAGAAGAGAGAGAAAAGAAAAATCATTATTCTAGACGTAAAACACAACATATCGTGGTCTCGCATCACCACCCTCGTTAGAATACACTCCTGGCATCGCTTCTACGGGCACCCTACCGCGTCGACATTATCCTTCCCCTCTACGCTCTCCCTGTTCGCTCTCGCCCCTCTGCATCAAGAGGATACCCCTTCCATTCCACATTTACCTATTCCTCTCCCCGGCTACACCCTCGCACCAACGAACTCGCTTCCGTCTCACTCCGCTTCTCCCAACTCCATCGCGCTTCCCCTCACACCCCGGACTCATCGCCGGGAGTCTGCCCCTTCCGTTTCACCGTCCCTCATCGGCAACCGCCTTTCGCCCCCGCGTTGCCCCTCGTCGTCGGACTCCGTCGGGTCGCCCAGCCAGCCAGCAGCCAGCCAGCCAACAGTCGAAATCAGCTGACGGCGAGCAGTTGTTACCACGGCTCCTCAAACGCGATACTGTTCAGGCAAGTTTATCACCGCGGACGCTTTTCCGCGCCGCCCTTGGCTAGTTTCTTTGTTGTGTGTGCCCTCCTGAATTCTCCCTTTCTTACGTCATTGGCCGTCGTCGCAAACGACTACTTTATTTTCTTGTGTCTATCCTATTTTGCTTTTTGCGTTGGCGAGACCGAAGCGTTCCGACCGAAAGGAGCGTCTCGGAGAGTCTCTCCGAGATGCTTTGACGTAACTTGACACAAAGACGTTCGGCGACGATGACAAAATCCCACCGTCGTTCCGTCGTTTCATCGCGTGTAACACTCGAGCAACTCGTGTTTCTCGTGTTCGGTAACGATTGGAGCACGTCATTCGCGATGAGAAACGAGATCGCGAGCGAACGATTGCGCGATTTTTGATGTCACATTGTGATTTTTTTTTCTTTTTGTTTTTGTTAAAATTAAATAAATGTAAACACACAAAGCTAAATTCGAGAAAAGGGGAAAAAAATGACGCGGAAGTGATGAGGCGAATACTCTGAGACGACCTGACGACGGAGATTTGTTTACTTTTCTTTATCCCGTAGCTCTTAGCTCTGTGTTTTCCTAATATATGTATAATTCAACGTGCGCGCGTGTGTGTGTATACAATTCGTATTCTTGTGCCTTAGAAAAAAAAAGACTTACTTTGAAAATGGAAAAAACAAAAAACGATAACTCGAAAACGTTACCGTAAACTTTCAAATCTCTGTTTACAAGTCACGTACTTTGAGATTAAAAAGCGATAAAATCGTTCGGAGAGAAGCACAAACGTCTCACGTCAAAGTTTGTGTTTGTAATTATCGATGAGGGGGAGACAAAACTGCGGAAAAAAAAATTTGCGAAAGGAAAGTCGGTCGCGAGAGACGGTAAAACAATGAAAAAACGACGGCCGCGCGCGCGGATGTCGTCGATTACGTTTCGCTACTATTGTTTTATCTTGGAAAAACGAGCCCGAGATTAGCTACATTTTAATCTCTTTTTTTTCTCTCTCTCTCTCTCTCTCGGACATCGATATTGTTACTTCGCTACTCGAATACTAGCTCGGAGTTCAGCATGATGTAAGTCATTCAGCCAATTGTGGAATAAGCCAGGATGATGTCACGGCAAAAATAAATTATACAATCTGCAATTCTTTCGCCTTATGCCGACGGTCGCGCGAGCGTTAGAATTGTAATTGGAACCAGTAATTACGATAATGATTTTATTCAACGACGATTCTATTTAAAGAAAAAAAAAATGCAATTTTGCGACGCACCGATCGAGGACTGTTACAGATTTTGATTCTTTTCAACACGAGGTTTTTTTTTTCTTTTACGCGAATCGCGTCGAATATATTTATTGGAGCGAACTGTCGCTTTTTTTGGTTTTTCTCTTTTCTTCTTGATGTTCTCTTAATTGGATGTCATTACACTCTCTCTTTGTAATTATACTGGTGCGTGAATTTTCTTGAAAAAAAAAATCGAGATAATTAATTTTTTTTCTCTCTCTCTCTCTCTCTCTCTCGAATTATAAAGTAAGCGAAAGAACATTTCTGTCAGTTAATTATAGAACTAAAAATATTTTTCTACTTTTGTGAATAATAATAATAATAATTCGATTATATTACTACTCGATAGAGAACAATGATCACTTTGTAATGGGCGCGAGCGAGTGTGCGTGTGTGCCGTGCGTGCGTGCATGCGTGCGTGTACGCGAGTATATTTACAGTCATATCGGGTACTTAAATAGTTGGCAAGCGATTATGCACAACACGGAGGAAAACTGCTTGCTTGAAAGAAGACTCGTCGTTGCCCTTCTAACTAGAGAGAAGCAAATTCGAGATCAAGGTCGCCGTGATCGCCTCGCACTCGCCCGCCCACAAAAGTGTGTTGAGATTATACAACCGAGAGAGAGAGAGAGAGAGAGAGAAAGAGACCGAAATAAAGATAGAGAAAGAGAGAGAGAGAGAAGGAGACTCGAAAATGCAACGAGAATCCGTTTTTTCGATTCGAAAACTCTCGAGAATTGAGAACACGCGATTCGAGTAGAATAAAAAAAAAGAGAGAACAAACGATCGGGACTTCGATAAACGTAAATGTCATCGTTCGAAGAGAATGACGCGGAACGATTTGAAAAACGTCGCACTTGTGCCTTGTCATCATAATAAGAAACAATACAAAATGATGATTAGAAGAAAAGAAAAAAAAAAAAAAAAAAAAAAAAAAAAATACAAAGTTGTCGCTATTAATATTAATATTATTCAGCGCATTTGTGTGCGTGCGTCTTATTAATTCGATATCTCTTTCAGGTGTCGGGCGATAACAGATCAAGATGTTGGGCAACTTCGTCGGTTACTTATTTGGTGGTAACTACTCCGGGACGCAGGACTCGCTCGAGGAGGATCCTCGAACCCGGGGGATAACGCGGAGATTCAGACAAGTGGAAGTCGAGAACGACGAATGGATCCTCATTGACCGGACTGGTACATAATCTAGTTTATTTTTAATAAATTTATCTCAAACTTTATCACTTACACACACACACACACACACACACGAAAATAAGAACACACAGTTTTTCTAAAAGAAAAACTACGGGGAGAGAAAAAGATTATTATTGTATACAACTTCAAATATATTAAAGCTAGATATGCCAAGAAAGCGAATGGGTCAGAAATAGATTGGTCATAAGCGATAAAGAGATAGTTTCAACTGCGTCTTATGTTATTATCCGCTCATTCACTTCGTCGCTCGTTCACGTGCTCGTTCACTTGGTTTCTTCGTGGATTCGTTACGCAAGATCGCAAATGCGCGCGGTAATAATTTCTCAGATTTTATTTTCGAACCGAGTTTATTATTTAACACATCAATTTGCGAAATGGGCGTAAAAAACTGGATTTTTGTTGAAATGTTTACCGGTGTTTCTCTCTCTCTCTCTCTCTCTCTTCAAATCTTGTATCTTTGTTTGCGACACACCTTGATCATTGAGAAGCATCGATTATGTTGATGCACTTTCCTTTCTCCCGTTTCAGTTGAGGGCACGCTGGAGGAGCCGTGGTACGAAATGCCACCTGCAGTGTTCACACAAGAAGGACCTATCAAAGTGGCCACCTCGCCTATGGAGAATCTGCTGATTGAACATCCCAGCATGTCCGTTTATTCCGTCGTGTCCGGAACGCCTACGTCGCCTGCTGTCGTTCCAGACACCCCGCCACCCTCGCCGGATAGATGGACGGATAATCAAAAGGACAGCAACGTCCCGGATGTCACCGATCTTCCCCAAAATGTTCCTCCGGCACCGCCAGCTAATCTGTCGTCTTCGGTGTCCACTTTATGCACTATGTCCACATCACTAGATTGCAGTCCCGATCGAAGTAATATTGACGAATTGTCGCGCAGAGTTGTTGCAGAGATGCAAGCCATCGACAATGACAGACCCGTGTCCGATAACAATAACAACAACAGAGCTAACATTGAAAAACAACTTCAAACCGCTCAAAAACGAGCTCAAGTGGTACGAATTTTTTTTGAGTTTCTTATAATTGTTATCGATACATCCGTCTTTTTGACAAAAGAGACATCTTGAAAATCAAGTCTTCGAAGAAATATCTTTAAGTTCGATACCGTCAAGTTAGAAATTTGCGAACATCTTCGAACTGTTAACTTTTAACTTTATCGAGAACCCGCTACTTTATTTTTCGCAGATGCTGAAGAAACGTTCGACTCAGAACCTGACACGAACTCGTTTGGAGAAAAGCAACAAAGTGCGTCAGGCAAAAGGTAAGCGACTTCGTCGCCAAGAACGTTTGCGCGTTCGCAATAGTGGAGCAAACAACAACCGAAAGTGCTAGTCATCCGATCTCAGGCCAAGCTGTACTTAAACTTCTTCCTGAAAACATGACCAACGCTACAACAAAATAGCCATACATAGTGAAGTTCGTTGCAACAACGGAAAACTGAAGGGCTTCGTATTAACTTGTCTTGTGTACACTGTGTGGTTTTTTTGTTTTTTGTTTTAGTTATTCAAAAAAAAATTGTGTACACAAATGAAACCAGGTTTAACTTCGATTACCTTGATCGGCCGACATGGCGATTCCGATGGGAGCGGCCAATTTTTTGATTAGACAAAGTGACTAAACACGATTAACATTTAATTGAAACCGATCAAATTAATTGGAGTAAAACCGGCCTTTATAACAAGAAATGGGACAGTTGCAATACGTGATAGCTATTTCTGCTCACCAATGATCTCAATTTGCTTCACTTCTTATCATTATTGACTCTGGTGTTTCGATTGTTTTGCTATATAAGCCCTGTTTGCGCACGAAAAGATCTGACAAAGATTTGTTGCAACGAAATTTTACTAGTGCGAGCGTATACTTGTTCGCCCAAGTATAGTGAGGAAGTGTGTACATTTGGTAACTAGGATTATAGCTCACATATACAAACAAAAACCGAGTGACACGTTTAACCCTTTCTGAAAAAAAAAAAATCCATATATATTTTAAGTAATTTAAATTTTCCTTTAATATTTTAACGATAATAGTGATTACGTTCTAGTATAACATATATATATCTCTCTCTTATTAAGTTTTTCATATCATTGTGTGTACATATTTATCTTTTGGACCCTGTAGCGTAGTCGCATATAATTTTATTGTAACATCTCTAGATATTTCGTTGTAATCATTTTAGAAATTATACACATGGCGATGATTCTCTTTTTTCATATAAAATAAAAACAAATTGTTCCTCACGCAGGAGTCATACAAAAAACGAATGCAATAATTTTTAAACTTCTACTATTTGGCAATGGAAGTTTACTGACAAACCACGTTCACGCAAAAAATGATTCCTATCATATATATGTAATTTCCATAATCTTGTACAGGTGATCGAAACAAAGCAATATTGAAGATATGCAATTTTATCTTGAAAGGGTTAACAGGAGTCCTCACAAAAGTATGTTTTAAGAGTGAAGTACATCATTATACACACGTGCGAGGACATTGATATTATTAGTGCATTGTTAAGATTATATATATATATATGTACATGTGCTTCATTTAACTTCATTTAAGTATAAGATTGATTAATTATAATTATTTATTTTTAGCACACACAATGGCATAAATATATATATATATACATTATGTATATTTAAATAATTTCTTACAGTTACAACTTAATTAATTGCATTAGTATCGAAAGTGTATTTGCACATTCGTCACAAACAAAAAGAAAACAACAACAAAAAACAAGAACTTTCTCTATAATATTTAAGAAATGTACATCTCTCTACAGAGACGCCACGTATGCCTTTATATCTTGAGAAGTTAGAAAAAGAAGAGAAAAAAAAAAGGTACTTTGAGAGATCGAAAAAGCAGTTTTTCATTTGTACAAACAATGATGTAATTTTGAAGATATACTTTTTAATAAGCATCGAAATTCGAGAAACGAACACAAATATTTTATAACGAAACCGAATGCTCGTCACACAGCAATCGACCGTGTCCTCTCGACTCTCACATGAAAAAAAAAAAAAAAAAAACAGAAATTTTCGTGTTTTTGGAGAACAAAACAAAATAATGAAGAACCGATATTTTTTCAAAAAAGAACTGTTAAATAAAAAGGAATACAACGCAAAGATTATTAAGAACTATGTAACACACTCACCTTAGTTGCGATAGAAACAGAGCGAGCGCGAAAAAAAGAAACTCCACGTGCGATCACTGCACTTCGACGTTTTTCACGTGTTTTTTTCTCATTGCATTGTTATATAGTATTTGTTATCGATTTGTTACAAACGCGCACATTATCGATATAAGACGAAGAGTGAACTAACCTAACAAATTATTCCTAATAACTCCGCGTGCCCAATCAAACGAGACTGAAGGCACGTTCGACACACACACATATATTTCAATAAAACCTCCCTTAAATAATCCTATCTACAAAATTTCGTAGTTCGAATCATCAAAATCCACATTTTACGTACGCGCTGCATAAAATGTTGAATCAATCAGAAAAAAAAAAAAAAGATGCACGCACATTCGTTCCGTCATCCATTTTTGAGTCACGCGCCAGAAACGTATGGGGCGAGATCAAACTCGATTTACACGCAGATCACACGTGACAATTCGCCAATCGCATCGGTCAGTTGGGCCGATCGATTGGTCCGGGCTCTGGTAACTTTCTCTCGAACTGATTTTGTTGCGTTGTAAACACGCCCTTCAGTTTCGTCAAATTCGCGCCAAATTCGAAGAGAGAAACGTTCGCCTCACATTTAGCGGAATTTTTATTTCGTAAAGAAAAGTGGCTGTACCATACAACATTATTATTGAAAAGGATTATTTGTACGTCACTAAATATACACACACACACACAGAATCCTATTTATGTATAAAAAAGTCAAATATATTTTAAAATATATATTATAAAAATTAACGTATTTAAAAAATGTTTCAAGAATCTTTTCTGAATTTTAATTTATATTATATATTGTATATACATGGATGTGTGATATATCATAAGTGCAATACATATGTTTGATATAATTTACGTACAAATAAATCCTTTTGCTTCCCAAAAAGCACGTACGTACTTTTTCAAAAGCGAGTTGTCAGCGACGTATTTCGTTCAGAACACATTTTTTTTCAGAATCACATTTTGTTCAGAAGCGCGCCGGAGCGAAAGGATTATAATATTTGATTTTTTAAACATCATTCTTTTTTTTTTATTATATTCTACATTATTTGCTGATTCGACGATTCAGTGAATTCCAGCTGTTCGTGTAGTCGATCTTCAAATGACCGTACGTATTCAGGTCCATATGCGACGGTGATGTTGTCTGTACCATGTATCTGTTGTCGTGCGCGTTAACTGCGTGCGGTAAGCTTTTTCTTTCCTGAGGAAGAGACCTCGGAATTTCTAAACACACAACATTTCTGTATTAGAAATAAAAAAAAAAAAGAAAAAAAGAAAGAGAGAAAACGAGAAGAGTGAGAAGCGTTTCGCGAATCTCTCATTACATACGTCATCGCGTTTTCACTTGTTTAGAAATAATAATAATAGTGATGAAATGTTTTTTTGGGACAAGAAAACGATCGAGAGGCCACGAATGTAATCTTTCACGCCTCATCAAATTTTGCGACTCACAAAAATATAATTCAATTATTACGGTACTTTCTCGTGTACCGAAATCGCGGCACGCGCGTTAACTCGCGCGAGTTCCGCGCATGATTTAATATCTAGGAGAGAGAGAGAGAAAGGCTGTAAGCGCGCGCGATGAAAATTACGCAGCGAATGATCAATTCGGTACAATGATGTATGGATTCGCGCGCACGAATGCATCGCGCGACAGGCAATGCGCTTGCGACAGCGTGTCGTGCTATAATAAACCATCATCGTGTAACGACAGCACGTAAAAACTTTCTAACGCTCCGCGGACTAGAAATCGTTCGATTTCTAGTGGCGCATCGCTCTTCGAATGAAAAACTACGGAAAAATACATTAGCCGAACCGTTGTTCGGCCTGCTTTTTCCAACAAAGCGTGAAATCCGCAAAATCGGTCAGGATAATTTAGAATAAAATGTTTTTCGCGATCGAAAGAAAATCATCGAGACATCTTCAGAATCTAACGCGGTCTCTGTAACATTTTTTTCCTTTTTTTCTTTTGAAGAAACAAATTCGTTAAATAGCACTTGAATTATTATTATTTTTTTTTTGTTTTGATAAGACACATCTAATATATACGTATCACAAGAAAACAAATACCCTCATCGATCCAGTTTTTGATAAGTATCCAATTTTTAATCAGTTGTTAAAAAAGTATTATAGTAAGGTTTTGATCATAAAAATTAGTCCGAAAAAAAGTTTGGCATAATAATTAATTATTCCGACATCTGTACACCTCCTTTCGGATAATATTTGTTTAACAAACTGATCAATAATTGGATACCGATCAAAAACTGGGTCCGTGACGGTAGTCGAAGATATATAAATTATCTCTATCTGAGAGAAAATTATAAACATCTTTCAGTACAAGTGTTCGTCTAATTTGATGAATGTTTTTCACATTGTTTTCTCGCGCGTTTTTCTCGAGGCAAGTCTTACCGAGTACGGGCGTGAAAACCGGAAATGGTTCCGGCGCCGATGCGACATAATTCATTCCCTCGTCCTCGTAGATAGCTTGCTGATAACAACGGCTATTGTTTGGTTGCCTAACTGGTCCGTGGTACAAATCTCGTTCGTCATATTCTCTTAATGAAGATGACGCGCAGCTGATGATTTCATTTAAAAACAAAAAAAAACACAAAAAACAAAAGAATTAGAAGAAGATAAGACAGAACAATGAAATGAAAAGCAGAGAAAAATTAAATGTAAAAACACTTTAAGTAATGTTCTTAAATATTTTCCTAATGACTGTTCAAAAGTTCATTGTGTTACATTACTTCTATATATTGCTCGGCACAGCGACAACATGTTTACATAACATTTTTATCATTCTTCATTATCGAGTATAAAAAATCTATTTTTTATATTACCAATATTCCGATCGTGCTCGCGCGTCCCGAAGGGAACGTTCCTGCATGGAAGGGCAGCGTTGCGTTCGGCGCGGTACGTCGGCGACGCTGTGGCGCCGCAAATAAGCGTAATTCTCCAAGTCCCACGGATCTATGTAATGACGACCTCCGGTCCCACCGCTTCCGGAACTGCCAGAAGTCGATTTTCGGGAATCATCCGAACTCCAATAAATTGACGATTCTGCCGGCATTTTGTTCTCACTCTTTCTTCTTTTATTTTTCAGAAAAGCAACACATAGAGAAGTATTTGCTGAAAATTTTACTTAAAAAAGAAAACACATGACTTTTATTTAACGTAGTTTTTTTTTTACAAATCTAAAATTTTCTATGTACGACACTCTTCCTGCATTTATACGTTCGTTCAAACATTATTTTTTACCTGACTGATAGGAAAGTTCTTCTCAATTGTTTCTTCCTTGTTTTTGTCGATGCATTGATCAATAAATTTTTCACATAATTTAACAAGTGTGTTTTTAATTTCACTTTCTTTGATTAATACTTTTTTGTTAAAAAAAAGTTTTTTCACGCTTTTTTCAAGCAAAACTTTTAGAAATTTATTTATATCTTCTATTGTATTTGACGTGACGATTATTTTTTGTTGCCACCACTGCATCCCAGTTTAAATTGACATTCTTCCGTTCTTTCGCACGACATGCAAGAGCACATTGCGCACAGCGCGAACGCGATTTCGCTTCTGCGGCCGCCGAAGCCGAAACGTCGCTTTTTCCGCTGCCGCTCTTCATGGTGAAACCTCCGTGGACTTTCACACCCGCGCGAACCTCGTGGCCTAATCATCGTATTCTGAATCCCATGACGGATGACGCATCGTGCGGAACCGGAGCAACATGTTCACGCGTATTTTACCAAACGCACTCCACTTTCGAAAGCGCGCGTTCAATTCACGATTTGCATTTTCAAATCGGCAATTTACTCGCGAAATTATCGTACGGTTTTGTTTTTAAAAATAGTAAAAAAAAAAAAAAAAAAAATGTGTGCGCAGACTAGATCGGAGAAAACTGGTGCAAATCGAATGTAATTTTTTAACCTGGATATTACGCTACACGTAAAAGCAAACTGGTTTTTCAAACGTACTTCTTATTCCATTCTTAAAACACTTTGATATTTTCACACGCAAGAAACGTATTCAAGCTAGTACGATTTTTGACTTATACATATATACACTTCAACATACATATATCCTATATGTACACATACATACACGTGTGTATATAGATATTTATATCCCCTTATATATAAATATATACGTATTTTGATTACACATATACATATTAATTTCTTATTGAAGTACGTTATAATTCAGCACTCTGTCCTCATATCTATGGTAGTTTTATCAAAACCCTCTTTTTCTTTTTCCAAACAGCACAAAAAGACGTCAAAATACATATTTCAAAGATGTGTAAAAGTCGTTTTAAGTCGTTTTCAATTATTAAAAAATAAAAGGAATTCAAGGAGAACAATTAACGTGTGTTGTAGCTTCTTACATATTATTATTATTATAATTATTTGTTCGCTTGTCAAACAAAAGAGAAAGACATAGAAAGAAATGAGTACAATATCGAGTGTAAATAAACAAATGAAACGATTATGCTAATCATTATTGTATATATACATTGCGTGACACACACTCGGCTTACATATTAACAAAATAATATTCTCTCAACATGTTTTTTTTCTCTCATCGATGAATATAAGGAAAATAGCTATATAGTATCATGAGATATAGTATTGTTTAAATTATTTGATTTTTATCTGGAGTTTACGATAACATCCCTACTTGAGTTTTTTTTTCCTAACACGTACGTATATTTCGCTTTGTTCGATAAAAATAGCAGTTATATTTGATAACATGACGTGTGTGTGTGTGTGTGTGTGTTGCGTAATTCTATTCTTAAATTCTATTAGTCTGTAAATTCGAGAACAAATGTGTTTTTTGTTATACATAGAGCAATTAGCCATTTAAAGGGTGTTGTCGCAAGTTAGATGTCTTCGTACGTGTAGATACGAAGAATTTTGTTATCTTCCTACACACATCTCGCAAATACTCTCTTTTTTATCCCGCATACATATATTAAATATCATTTGTTAAATCTCAAGAGAGAGCTTTCTTCAACATTAAGACTATTATCATAAACGCGAAATGCGATTTCTAATCGCAACCAGCTTCATAATTTGTTCGCTACAACAGGATTGTACTCGTGTATCCAGATAAAGATCAAGAACACATATCACAGTTTCAGATTTTTATAGGTTTAGATTTTTTAAATCTTTCTTAAATATTACGTCGTAATATCATTGGCTGGCGATAACTTCGTGTCGCCTTATCAATTATAACAGCTAAGGTTTGGCGCTAAGTTCTGCTGTGTGTCGGAAATACAAACGTTCAACAAAAAGAAATTCGCAAAGATTTGGCAAAACAACAATTGCTCACTTCAAGTGACCTTTGACAAGATTTTCTTTTCAATAGAATAGGTTCCCCCCTCCCCTAATCGCGTAGTGTGCAAAAATACTGAATCTAGAGAGAAAAAAGCCAATAATACATCTTTTTCTTTTGATAACTTATACATTGCTTAACACGCTGCTTGTTACTGACAAACAAAACGTAACAAAAAATCGCCACGATACCCCATCGTTACACTTTATCTGTAACTTATATAAATCAAATTAACCTAAATAATCAGATAAATTAAATTGAGACAATTATTAAATATCATAATTTCTATCCGACTACATAAATTTTCAAACACACACAGAAAAATTGTTTCTCTCTAGATTAGAAATTCATTTACTTGGCACACCGTGGAATCACTTTAGCTTCCCCTACAGAAGTTTACAACTGGTACGACCAAGACAACTTATTTTGAATATCGAAATTATTGCTAAAAAGAATGCTTTTATTAGTTAAAATAAATAATTATTTTGGCCACACTAGGAAGTAAATTTCTATAAGGATTTACACAAATTATTTGTAAAACAAACTCACAAGTTTCATATAATTACGTTGGTGGAAGGCTTGGAACGCGGAGTTTTGCGACGATTTCTCATCTGGCCTGATCGAGCAGCAGCGACGCCGCCATTTCTACGTCATATTCACTCTGCTTCAAAGCGTTCTCACATTGTTGTCTAGTAGCCAAACCCAGTCTAAAGTTACAGAAATAAAAGTTAATTAACAAGGTTTTGTAAGATCAGACTACTCGATCTAGTTACTGATCTATTTTTATTGTAAGATATATGAGAGATAAAGCGAACTCGCATTAATGTAATTTGAGAAACGTAACCTGCCAAATGCAAACAAACTCTTTAGTATCCGAACTACTTCCTTCGAATATTCAATAAAACCAAAAGAGATAGTTACCTTACGAGACTTTCAACTTTTGCCTGCCTGTCCTTTGTGATTTGCTTGGCAGCTTGATTTGTGTCCCAACCGGTCGCTTGTAGCGCGGCCAGAACCTCCTGTTGAGACGCGTCTGCGGCCTCTCTCTGCACCTTCATGATCTTGCTCGCCCTAAACTCGTCGCTCAGAGACATCACAAGTTGCTGAGAAACCGCGGTGAGCGGTGGACTAGTACCAGTTGGATGCTGATTAATCTGCAGTAGGTTTGTCTTTGATAAGTCATTCGCCGATGTTCCGCACACATTCCTGGCGGGAGTTTCGTTTTGCAACAGATTGGAAGATCCGCTTAAATTGGACTTGGTCGCGGAATACTGATTCTGCGCACAACCGTTCTGGCTGGATTTAAGCGGACTCCAGGCTCCCGTAGGAGGAAGCGGAGGAGGATTATAAACAGGCGGCTGTTTTAGATAAGGACTAAAGTCGCAAGGGTGTGATTGAACAGGCTGATTTCTGCCGACTACAGTTTTCTGTTGTTGACCGCTGACTGTCTCCCGGGCACAGTTCTGGCTTGACTCGCCGTTTAAGTTGTTGGAATAGTAATTTCGAAGAATATTCTGCTGAACAGTTTTATTGTAGAGAGTATTGAACTCGTTTTGAGAGAGCTGCTCCAAGTTAGGAACCTGTAAAAAATATTTTTCGTAAACAATCGTCCTAATTCTGAAAGATTCCTTACGTTTTATTCGACTAAAAATCTATCAATTGAGAAAAAAAATATTTTTGAAGTACGATCTCATGAAAGCTTCTTACCATTTGTTTCAACTCTGCGTACACTTGCTCGGACAAGAGTGTTGCGGGTTTCAAATGTTGAGGTTGCTGCAAATCATTCTGTATATGAGTGATTCCGTGAGTATTGTTCGTACTGGCTGTTACGTTCTGCGGGTAAGACTGATGTAACGCGAAGTTCTGATTAAGAACAGGCGTCGCGTTCTGCGAGCAATTCTGGCTCGTTGACGAATAAATCTGGTCGGGAACGGTTTTGGAGAAATTACAGGATCTGTACTGAGCGCATCCACTGATGCTGTTACTAGCAGTATGATTAGTGATCGGTTGAGGCGAACTGAAGTTCGACGCGTTAATGCAATTCTGATTACCGGTTAGCGCAACAACTTGCGTTTGATTCAAGTTTGTTTTCAAGACGTTAGCCGCGCCATGTAGAGGATCACGCGTCACGTTGGCGGGGATTTTAGCGGGGACAACTTGCAGTAAATTGAAACTCTGTCCGGTGCTCGTACAAGAATTTTGAAGGTAGGTCTGACTATTTGACGAGCAAGCTTGCGCCTGATTGAAAGCAACTTTGGAAACGTTGCAAGGACCATATTGGGTTTCGTTCGCGGTATTTCCAGCAATGTTGGCGGCAGTTCCTTGAAGCAGATTGACATTACCGTAACTAATATGTGTAGTATTTTTTGTATTCTGACTCGATGAGCCAGCTTGTGTCTGAGCGAAGGTAGCTTTGGCGACATTGGAAAGACCGTATTGACTTTGATCGTACGTATTACTAAGATTAGTGGTTTCCTGAAGCAAATTAATGTTATCTTGATTTGTTGGAACGGGCGTTAACATCTGACGACCAGCAGCCAGTTCGACTGGATGAACATTCTTCTGCTGTGGCAGAGTTTGCGCTTGCTGCCAAATTTGATTCACTATCGTATCAGTCGCCGATTCTGACACCCGCTGTTCACTCTGAACAGACGGTTTCTGAATGTTGGTGCTCTTTGGCTGCCAGGAATTCTGCACCTTGCTGAGTAATGTTGACGAGGATGATCCTCGATGATCCGTTGCTATTGGTGACTTCGGTTTTGCTTGCGGTGGAGGTTTCAACGTTGGAATAACAGACGAAGAAGGTCCAGCAACGTCTTCCGTTGTTGAGAGCTGCTGAGTCGGCGCGGATTCTTGTCGCAGCTTGTCTGAAGATGAATAGCGCAGATAATTTGTAGAAACGGCTCCTAACTCTTGACTTTCTCGGTTACTGGTGGAGTTCGTGTTTTTGGTCGCCTCCTTCTCGCCCAGATGTTTCTCTAGTTCAGCCAAAAAGGCTGAATCCAATTTCTTTGCGATATTAGAGCTGGTATTGGAATTGGAATTCAACGATAGCTCGTTCATGCTTTGCGCAAGCTCGCAATTGGATTTCGGTTTTGATGGACTCTCGTTAGGTCCGACGGAAGGAGGAGGAGGCGGTAGAGGAGGCGGAGCTGGAACGGAAGTGAACGACGACGCGGATTCCACTGTGGAAACGTTGACGTACGTCTGCGGAGTAGAAATATTCCGTAGATCCTCCGGCCAGGTGGACCAGCTCGATTCACGCGGGCTAGTCTTATCTATTTCACTATAATAACTCGAGACATCTTCTATATTTGCCGCATCTTGCTGAGATTCTATGTTCGGATTGTTTGAGTATTGACGAACGTCCTGAAAAATAAAGAATATAATAGTTAGATTGTATATAGAGTTAACGAGAGTTGTCTAACAGAAATGAGATACGATTTTCCGAGAAACACCGTATATTGATATACCTCTATATTTGCGGAATCAGCAACAAAACTATTCGTAGCACCTTGATCCTGCGTCTCTTGATTATCCACATTTCCATACTTTGCGTAGCGATTGGCTACTTCAGTAGGCACATGGCTGTAGTACCGCGAATGTGGCGGCTTCATGAATACTGCGGACGTATCAAACGGATCGGAATACGCGGAATCCACATTGCCAGGGAAATTGGCATACGTTCTTCCCTCATCATCCTGCCAAGAAAATCTCTCGTCCTCGATGGGCTCGTCTAGAATGTTGACCACTCGCCGACACGCGGCCTCCTGCGCGTTTGTACTCACTGATCCCTCGGCGGAAAGATCTATTAAAGTGCCTTCCTGATTAGTGCTCGAGCTCGATGATGCCTGCGGCATTTTGATGGGACTAGACCTGGTGTCATTCTGCAGCTTCGTGTAATTAAATTGTTTTCTAGTGCGCGGCGTGCCGTAAGAAAATTTTTTCTTCGTCTGATTGTCCGACGAAGACGCCACCAATACATCTGGAGGATCCATTGGATTTCTCAAATATACGTCATCGATATAGACGGGGCTGCCCCAACTTTTACCAAAAGGCGCTCCGTGTCCTGTGTGAATAAACGAGTTCTCCAAGGGTTTGCTAATGTCCTCTGGTTGCTTTCGGCGCATTGGATCGACTAAACAACGAGGAAAATGCGCCACCTGAAAAGTTCGCTGATTCTGTCCTTTCCACCAATAATTCTCTGGACGTCCATCAATGATTGCGATCTGATCTCCCGGTTCGATGGACATCTTGTCGGGTTCTTCGAAAGCGGATAGAGCTTTCATCACAGACGGTACCATCCCAGTCAACGATTCCTTTAAGGAAGCAAACGTAGGTCTTTCCGAAGGTTCTCTCCCCCAACAACGAAGCATCAGCTCGTACACGTAAGGAGGCGTCGCTTCTGGCTCATGAAGACGTTCGCCCTCGCGATCGATCTTCCGTAATATTTCGGAACCGTTTAAACCCACCCAGGGCTCTTCTCCGAACGTCATCATCTCCCATAGCGTCACACCGAACATCCAAACGTCTGACGCGTGGCTGAATTGCCGCGCCTTGAGCGATTCGGGAGCGCACCAAGGAAAAGGTACCTTTTTGTGTTCAGTCATAACGTAACAATCTTCTTGTTGAGGCAGTGCTTTCATTAATCCGAAGTCACCGATTTTAATCTTGTCGACTGTGCTCAATAGAACGTTTCTACATGCCAAATCACGATGTAGGAAACGTTTCGCTTCCAAGTACGCCATGCCTGTGGCAACTTGCAAAGCGTAGTTGCAGAGTGTAAGAATTGAGATTCTGCTGCATTGCTTTCGCAAATAGTCGAGTAACGCTCCCAGAGGAGCAAGCTCGGTCACCATCATCATCGGCTGCGACAGCACTACACCGTACAATCTGATAAGATTATGATGATCCAATGTGTGCATTGCTTGAACTTCAGAAACAAAGTCTTCTATCACATTCGGCTGTGTGAGAGCGTCTGCTTTGAGAACTTTCACAGCAACTGGAAGAACTCGTCCAGAGGGAGAAACCCATTCTCCTCTTCTGACTACACCGAAACTTCCGTCACCAAGTTTAACAGACAGCGTAACATCCTTGTCCTGTATGAGACATGTTAACACTGAAGATGTTTCGATAGGCTGCGAAGAACGTTTATTGTTCTTGCCACTGCCCCCAGGTTTGATCTTAGTTATAAGACTCTTCTTCCATTGAGCACTTCGTCGTTTCTTCACCGCATCTAGCAAGCGTCTGACACCAGGTTTTCCCAGGCCAATCTTTTCCAAATCTTCTGGCTGAACGTAATCAAAGTGATGAAGGCGAGTAACTTGCAGATCATCTCGAATTCGTGTAAAAAATTGGGAGAGCTGCACATCAAGAAGCAACTCTTGAAGCCACTCTGTACCTTCTTCATCAGCCATGGCGGTTACACCTTCCTTGCTCATTAAGATATCTGACACTCTAAAAGTATAGAAAACAATACAATAATTTTTTTACTTGTTAAGTATGATAACATATAGATGTCTATTAAAATGTCATAATAAAGAGAATATCGCATTCATTTGTCACACAAAGGATCTCCAAAATTCTTAAACTTAAAATCTTGTAAAAGAGTTTGTGAATTCTATATAACAATATCACGTAAATTAGATTCCAATAAGAAAGTTTTAGTTTCATGAGATTTGTTGACACTTAAAAACCTTGGAGAAATATAAAACATATTATTTTATAAAATTTCAAACTCTCGAATAATAACATTCTCTTATCAATTTCGAGACACAAATGTTTTATCTTTGAATTTTATCTCTTGCAAAATACAAAATTCATCTCCTGACTTTTGTCTCTTGCAAAATACTAAATATAACAAACAAGATTGTATAAATCTAGAATCGTTGTCTCTTCTCAGACAATTTACGCTTCATCAAACACTTTGTAGCGTACATACTCTCCGCAAAAAAATTATATTCAAGATAACACCAACCTGTAGATTTTGCTCTTATCATTTTTTTTCTTTTTTTTTCGTCTGTCCAGGAAGCGTTGATAAATATTCGGAAATTTTTATCTGAGAAACATTCACTGACACATCCACTGACAATTTTTCGAAAAAAAAATTCTCCTTGGAAAATACCGCTCGCTTCAGGGCGATCGAGAGTGACGGCGTCGGCCTTCGCTTTGTCGGAATCCCCGACGACGCATACTTTCACCCGACGATTTTCCAACGCGATGCATTATCCGACGTGTGAGACGTGTGTTGTGTTGCTATAACCTAACTCAAAGACGCGTCAATCTCAAGCTGCACACAAAAACCTATGTCCGTCACGTATACGGCAATCATCGTGAATGAGACTGAAACGACTGGGAGATTACGGTTGTTACAGCTTGTATCAACGGCCGCGGCGACGATTCTATGCGACCATTGTACGCGACGACCCAGACGGGGCGGCAAAGAGGGGGAGGGACGGCGGGGGGGAAAGAGGGGAGGAAAACGAAAAGGCGACAGAAATTGAATGAATTTCTCTGTGCACACAAGCTGATTCGCACAGAGCTGGTTCGCAAAACATGCTTATAGAGGGCATCGCGATGCAGCAATCCAGTCGATACCACCACACGTTAAACATACAAGTGTGTGCGTGTGTGTACAAAATTAAAAATAAATTATCACATACACGCGACTCACACGGACGTAACGCGCGTGTGTTGTAAATTGTTTTTTTTTTGTTTTAATTTCACAATTTGTTACGTAAATCGCGTATATCGCTGTCGCGGATATATATCAAAGTACAATTTCGCTCCGCTTTTCTCTTGCCAAGTTGGATAACAAATTGAATTTTGTTGCGTCACACAATGTGTACGAAATATATTATTCAAAACGTGACGCGTGATATATTTATCGTGTAATTTAATTGATTATAAATGATGCGAGTTTACATACGTTCCCCGCGCGAAGATTCAGAATGTAAATTGTATTAATTAGAGAACGAGTTTTTTCTCTTTCGGACCTTTCACGTATCTCTATCAGAATTATTATAATTATTAATCGTTATTATAATTACTATTTGATAGAGGTTTTTTGATCTTTCACCGCCGATCTCGTCATCCCCTGGACGAAGATAAACAAAGCGAAACAGGTTCGCGGCACACATCGCCGTGTGTAGCTATATATAATATCGCGCTTTGTATATAGGACCCGATTTTGCTGCATCGACCGCCTTTTTTTTTTCCTTCAACCTCGCGCCGCATCCCCGCACGCGGCCGTCATCGTGCCAATGTCGCGCGTGGCGCTTGCGTGTGTTACAGTACGCGGCAATTAATCGGTTCCTACGAAGAGGGAAGAAGATTCCCCTTCTATGTAGTCCTTGTATTTCAGCGGCCGACCGGGAGCGACCGAGACAACAAGAGGGACGGAACCTCGTTTCTCTCCCTCGCGGAACCGATTCCATTACCGCGCACTGTACGTACGCACCCTCTCGCGCACCCCTTCGTCAAAATCGCGCGTCACCACAGGCGGCGGTGGCGGCTCCGATCGATGTCCTGGATGGGCAGTTTTTCGCGGGACGCTTGTTGCTTTGGATATGCACACGAGCCGCGAACATAAACTCGTCCCCCAGCGTCTTTCTCTCTCGAATGCCTTTTGCGCCTTGTAAATCGTTCGGGTCGCTTTGTTGATTTTTCGACCGTTTCGAAGATGAGATCGCCGCTCTCGTTCCTCCGTCGCAACGGATTAAAATGCGTCAGAAGCATCATCGTCTCGGTGTAATCGCCGATGAACGCTTTATTGGCTCGGCTGATTAATATTCAAGGTACGAGGTATCGATAAATAAAAGCGTCTTTTATTTATTTCGGTACTGAAGCTAAAATAGCTTTCGAGCGCGCGATAAGGGAAAATGCTTAAAACTTAGATGAACTAATTAAAATTGCGTTTCGTACACACGATGAGATTTAATTGACTAATTAAATCCTCTTTTGATTAACTTCACTTGATGTTGACCAGAAATTTGATTGTCGCTGAAGAAAACGAGGGCGTTGCTTCTTTGCAAAATTTTTTTGTATTTTTAAATAATAAATTGATAAGAGCGAAAAATTTGATGATTTTATTTGAGGATTAATTCTTTTTTTTTTTTTTTGAGATTCAATTTTTCTTTCATTTTTATTATTTACTCCACGCTTTAATATCTTTTGTTTACTATATCTTCGACCTAGAATTGTTTTTCTACTAATCGCAATGTTTATTTGTCTCCTGGCTGGTCAGATTACGGACTTGGATTGTTGTGCGACGATCTGTGCGAAGATCTTCGCTCCGAAGAATGATGATGATCGATCGACAGCAGGTTTGCAGACGCGCGAGCACGCCGTAGATTTCGAAAATGCTTCGAAAGAATAACCGTGGTACATTCGCTGGCGTCGTTCCCGACGTAATCTGAAGAATACGCGCGGAAGAGCAGTTTTTTTAATTTTTTTCCGCCATCTCTTTCTCGCGGGCTCAAGGCCGCAAGCATATACACACTTAATTGTCTTTCCAATGAACGCGAGCTACTCGCTACACTCTGATTAAGAAGTCGTTAGTACATCAAGAAAATCATTTCGCGGGTGAATCGACAAGATGAAGAACTCCGAGAGGATAAACGGTGATCTACGAGCCTGGACGAGCCTGAACGATCTGTCGCGATCGACCGGTCAGGATGCCGTACTTGTCGGGAATTCCGTTCAAGTATGTGAGACTTCTTGACGATTGACAAATGTGACTTCTAGATGATGTTTGAGTATAGATTACGTTTAGGTAACTTATAGCGGCGGCACCACCACAACGTCGGTTCTTCAGCCTTTGGCCGAATCGCAAAGATCGAGGTTGAAACGCGTCACTCTGATCGCACGGAAAGTAATAGGAAAGCCATGGTCTTTCATCAAATCGTTTTTATACGGTTGTATACTGATAGCTTCCATCATCTCCCTGTTGAAGGAACTGAAGAAATTCTACAGTCCTGGTGAGTGTGCGTCCCGTGGAGCTTGTGACAAGAAATCTTCAGTATTTTAACAAATAACATTTTTCCTTCTGTCTTTTAATAATATCAATAATCTTTTTCGATGTTCAATGAACACCTTGAAAATCGTAAAAATTTAAAGAGATAAAACATTTTCGGAAAATTTTTGGAAAATTTTAGAACGCTTGAAGACCTTGACGGTGTATGTGAGAATATAAAAAACTTTAAATTCTGTGCGTAACACAAATCTTTACATATGTTTTTTTTTCCAAATTCAGATCCAAAAATTTGTTTGACTGAAGGATGCGTCAAGACAGGTAAAGATTTTTCGTCAATTCTATGTATTTTAGCTAAAAGAGACAACAATCCTTTTTTTTTTTCTATTTTTAATCTCTTAATCGCAATACTGGTCAACTGCTGACGAACAATCGTCAGCGGTTCTAAATAACAAGTTGATGAAAACAACCTATGCGAAAGTAATGAGGCAATTTGCTGTAATAATATAGCATCGAAGTTGCTAGAGGCGATGGATCGCACCGTGCCGCCCTGCGACGACTTTTTTCAATACGCTTGCGGCACGTGGAATCGATTGCACGTGATACCGGAGGATAGCAGCGCTACAAATAAGTTCGAAGTGATGGGCGACGGGCTGGAGTTGATTCTGAAGAACATCCTCGAAAAACCACCCGACCCGGACGATAATAACGCCACCGTGAAGGCCAAGATGTTTTACAGATCGTGTACGAATATCTGTGAGTATCCAAATGAGTCCTCGTTCGGGACGCTTTTAAACGACAATAAATTTCACACAAATCGCCACCGAAAGAATATTGTATAATAAAATAATTTAATATTTTAATAAAGTCACATAAAAAATAAAAAGACTTTTGTTCACATATTTCTAGGTTTTTACGTACAACAACAATATAAAGATATCGACTCGTTCGTGTATTTTTCATAAATCCTTATATTTCACATATGCTGTGCGTTCTATTCTTACAAGAATAAAATTGAAACGCAGCTCATATACGAAAACTCGGGGACGTTCCTCTGAGAGAGAGCCTGCAGCGTCTCGGTGGCTGGCCGGTTGTAGTGGGCGCATCCTGGAAGCCGCCGTCTTACTCGTTGGAAGTCTTCCTAGGTCGTTTGCGAAGCGAATACGACGAGGGTGTGTTGATAGAGCAGCGGGTCGGTCCAGACGATACGAACTCCTCCGTCAACATCATCCAGGTGCGCCGGCAAAGTAAGACTCCGTCGACAGTCGATGGCTGTACAACACTTCTCAACTCACATTTTATATATATTATAAATATATTTCAACTCATATATACATCAACATGAGATTTTTCTGTTATTTCTGGAAACTAAAGAAAAAAAATATGCAACAAAATGAAATAGGTAAATGATGTTTCCGTTTATATTTGCGTGCAGTTCGACCAGATGTTACTGGGACTACCCAGCCGAGATTATTACTTGGAAAACACGAGCGTAAAAGCTTATCACAATTATATGACAAATGTCGCCATCTTGCTGGGAGCTAATCCTCGCTCGGCGGCCGAGGAGTTCGATCGGGTGATAACTTTGGAGAAACAACTTGCTAACGTACGTCTTCATCTTATTAATTCGTCTCTTTCAACGGCAAAACCCATGTAGCGATTGACAACAGTCTTCACGATTCCAGGCATCCTTATCGGAAACGGACAGACAAAACATCTCGGCGATTTATCGGAAACTAACGCTGCGAGAATTGCAGCGAGAGGTGCCGGAATTGCGATGGCTCGCTTACCTGCGAGAATTCATCAAAGTGCCGATCGACGAAGACGAGGTGGTCGTGACATACGCGATGCCGTATTTCGTGCAAATGGGTCGCATTATCGCAAAAACGGATCGCAGGTAATAAACAAAGTAGTTGATGAAAAAAGTGACTAAAATTTCACTTCGATAAGAAATTTTTTTTTTCTTTTTTTTTTTTTGCAGGACATTGCACAATTATATTTTGTGGCGACTGGTCATGTCGATCATGCCTCACATGATCGACAAGTATCAGCAGAAGCGTTTGGAATTCCAAAGGATTTTGCTGGGCATTCTTAATGAAGGCAACAGATTGTCGCACTGCGTCGAGTGGACCAACAAGAAACTCGGGATGGCAGTAGGAGCTCTTTTCATACGCAACAATTTTAATAACGAAAGTAAGGTGAGAGCGTTCCCGATTCGCGTTAAAAAGACACAAGTGAGAGCAAATGAATCTCTCTTTGAATAATTAAAATTATTTACCGTTTGATGACATTTAGGAGATCGCTGTAAAGATGATTCGAACGATTCGCGAAGCTTTTAACGAACTGCTAAATGAAAACGATTGGATGGATAACGAGACGCGGAAGGTGGCAAAGGAGAAGGCCGATGCGATCGTCGAGCGAATCGGTTATCCCGAATTTCTGAAGGAATCGGACGAACTTTCCAAGGAATATGAAATGGTAAAACCATTTTTCTTTTCCCGTCGTATTTGACAAAAACGAAAAAATAAATTGAAAATAAACAAATTTATTTCATTTTACACTGAGATATTTTGTTCAGTTACACGTGATGGAAGATCGTTTTCTGGAGAACATTTTCGCGGTGCTCAAGTACTTAGCTCATTACAATCAACAGAAACTGCGAAAGCCGGTCGACAAAGACAAGTGGTCGATCGCGCCGGCTGTGGTAAACGCGTTTTACGATCCCAACAAAAACGAAATAGGTAAGACGATCGTGTTATCAAGAAGCGTCGTCATACGATTCGAAAGAAGTGAATCCAAATGAAAATACTGACGATACGGCATTAATAAATTGTTGCTTTTCGTACGATGACATTTTAGTGTTTCCCGCGGGGATTTTACAGCCGCTATTTTTCTCCCCGCACTTCCCGAAATCCTTGAACTACGGCGGTATCGGGGTCGTGATCGGTCACGAGATCACTCACGGCTTCGACGACAGGGGTAGACAATACGACAAGCACGGCAACATGATGCAGTGGTGGAACAATGCCACTATCAAGGCGTTTCGCGAGAGAGCACAATGCATTGTGAACCAGTATTCCAAGTACAAGTTGGAAGAAGTAAATCAATTCGTTGACGGTAGAATGACTGAGGGGGAAAATATCGCCGACAACGGAGGTCTCAAACAGTCTTTCAGGGTAACGTTTAAAATTTAATTTGATCAATGATATTGTAATAAAATTGCGTCTATTTGAAAAATAGACTCAAGATTTACAGAATCACAGAAAACAATTATTGCATGTTTAACAAAAAAAACTACGCGCTAGAGAAACAATAACTTGTTTAAATACTCAAAAAAAACATTTGCATTTGGATTCTCAATCAACGAATTTTCCGTTTCTTCGTCCGAAATAGGCTTACAAGAAGTGGGTTTCCGATCACGGCAAGGAACCGTTGCTGCCGGGGATAAAACTCACGCACGATCAATTGTTCTTCCTGAATTACGCGCAGATCTGGTGCGGTTCCACAAGACCGGAGAGCGCTCTGACGAAAATTCGCACCAGTACGCATTCACCCGCTAGGTTTCGAGTGGTGGGTCCTCTGTCGAATAGCGAGGATTTCGCCAAAGCTTACAATTGCCCGTTGGACTCGCCAATGAATCCCAGAAAGAAATGCAACGTTTGGTGATATATTAAGAGACACGTTGTCTCGATATAATCAAAAAATTGAGAGATGAGAGAGAAAAAAAACGCAAAGTCCTTTTTTAGAAGTTAAAAATGCCAACCGATCCCGGGAGGACTTGACAACCCACGTGTTCTTTTGACCACACACACATGTAACGCTAATTATCGCTGAATTCAATTGCGTTTTACCCTGTACATAAATCCATTGAGATATATATATATATATATATATATATATATATATATATATATCAAATAAATATAAATTTAAATAAAACTGTATGGAAATATTGAGCGAATTCAAACGTACATTTAAACTTCTTAAGAGACTTCGCTTGTTTAACGCAAATTGTGCGGCAGAAACATGTGAATTCAGTGTGTTTACATATGTTTAGAGACCCGAAAGATCCGTTTATCATTCTTGTGTATAGCAATACCGAGTTTGCTTTTTATGTAATGAACGAAAACCAAAATAAAAAAAAAACGTTGTACGACCAATGGGACTGGATTCTTTAATTCGTTCGACGCCACAAGGATTATTTAAAAAGTTATAAAAACAAGTTCTTAAAAGATTAGTAGTGGAAAAATGAGTCGGAAGAGTTTGCTGACACAATACGTTCTCGTTAACGTTTTTAAAGATCTCTTTATTTGTTTCCTCTTTTTTTTTTCTTCGCCTTTATATATATATATATCATATTACTTCTGTGTTACTGCATCCAGCTAAAGTCGCAAATTTACATTAAGCTCTGGGAATCGTGAACAAAACGCAGCGGGGGGGCAACATTCGAGGTCTAACGAGACAGATCCTAATCTGTCCCCGATTGATAACACGCTAAAAATGAAAAATAGTCGTAGCTCGTAATGTTATTACAAAAAGGTCTGTTACATCTTATGCGAATGTCTTAGATTCCATCGCGATTTCTTTTTTTTTTCCACGCAGAGAAAGAACTGTAAATGCAAGGGTCTAAAGAGTTATGAAGTTTTTTTTATGAATGAGAAAACAATCTTTCCAAAAAAATCCAAAGATCGAAAAGCGCGAAATATTTTCCTCAAAGAAAACTGTGTATCACTTGGCAAATAAAAAAACGAAAGATGTACGTTCCAGCTTTCCAAGATCTTGGCGCAGCATCCTTTGATTCTGATTCTTTGTTTTTTTTTAATAATCAAGCTTAATTATTCTGCGTGTGACATATGTCTCTTCATGTGTGCGCGTTTTTCTCCGAATTAAACGTATTGAACATGAGACTTTTCTTTGAAGAAAGAAAGAAGGATTCAAACGGCAAAAGAGATCATCTGCGCGAAATAAAAAGTTTCGTCCGTTATTAATCCGACGAGAAGTGCTTTTTTGAGCACAAACGCTTTCCAAGAACAATTCTTTCGACCTTTTGAATCCTAGAATCTTTAGATTTTTTTTTTTTTTGTAACAACTTCTGTGCAGTACATTTCTTTAAAATTCCGATTGTCGGATCTTTACAACTCCCTACGAATTTCATCATCAATCTCTTGTGAGTTTTGAACGTGTGCTTGCGCGCGACACTTATTTTATTTAAGTACATATATATTGTGTGTCTGTGTGTATACATATATATATATATAGTTTGTTTATCTGGTTTGTAACATTTAAAACACTTCGAAGTTATTTGCAACGGAACTCCATAATTCGTTATTTTACTTCTTTGTACTCTGTACCATGGTTGCAACGATCATGGTCAGGATCATCACGATCAGAATCATCTATCTCGCTTATATGTACATTCTTTTTTTTTTTCAACAACAATTGCCCTATAGTTTTTCTTTTGTTTTTTATTTTGTTTGCTCTTGAAAATTTATTCGAAATAAATTAATAATATCGTTGTGAGACGTATTTTACAATATACAAAACAATTCATTTACACAATATGCACAATTAATGTTATCGATTAACACAATTCGTTTAACTTTTGTACACACATACGGTTGTTCTTTTTTTCTACGCTTTCGCTCGCGTAAAAATATACGTAATACGATAAATTAACTTATTTTTAAAACAACTAATCGCCATTTGTTTTATTCCGCTTACTTAAATTGAAAAATTATAATTAATATATGTATATATAATTATCAATATATCAAGGCTACCACGGATATTTGATTACGGGTGTCAGATCAGATATAATCAATTGCTATTATTCCTAAATATAGGTACTCTTCATTGACATGCATTATAAATTCACTTTTTTTTTTTTTTAATTTATGTATTTAGTTTTATATTTCTTTACTCTTTGCATCTTTTATCCTAAAGAGAATTTTCCTATTAAATTTCTTCATTTATTCACTGACAGAAAGATGCTGTTTTTTTTTTTTTTATTATAATAAACTCGTGATAATTTTCGTAATTTTACGTTCTTCTGAGATATTTGAGTGATTTCTTTTAATCTTCTATATCCCTTTTTTTCGGAACATTATACAAGATATCCTAGAAAGAAGATCACGATGCAATAGAAAGATGTTTTTCAGTGATTTTTCAGAGAGAAGCGTTTTCTCTCTTTCTTCGGAAGTTTTCTCGGGGTATACTTAATGTAAACATCACAGAATATATAGGACAAAAAACATATCACATATTGCACTAAATATTAAATACAAATCCTTATATGCTGTTATTATAGTATTTAAGATTAAAACAAAAAAACATGAATAATAAACAAGATATCTGTAAGAACATCTTTTCAGAGAATATTTGTTTATACTATACAGATCTCTTTTTAGAATATCTTGTACTATACATATACATATGTGAAATACAATTAAATTGTTCGGAATACGCCTTGTATTTATGGAAGATCAATAGTAATATTTTACAAGAAGGATTCGCCGTCTTTACGCAATTTACCATTGATGTTTGTATCACTATTTTTTTTTTTTTTTTTTTTTTTTTTTTTTTTTTTTTTTTTTTTCAAAGGCTTTTGCCTCTATTTTGGGTTTATTGTATATATCCTGTACTAAAATATTATTAACAGTAATGCGTATTTTAATTCGTGTCTGTGAATTGTTTCAATGACTTCTGTGCGATTGAGAATTCATTTTAAGATGGAAGTGTTTCATTTCCTTCACAGGAAATTGACAAAGTTTTGTGTAAGTAGCTTATTTAAATATTTTTCAAGAACTAATGATACCGACGTACATGTTGAAAATATCATGTTGGCCAATTGAAGATTTCCGAAATCAAGGATCTTGAAATTTAAGAATGACACAAAAAAGCAAAGAACTATCCTAAAAGGGATTCAATGATTCTGTAAAATTAGAGATTTGTGCAATTGAAGATCGATGATACGTAAAATTGTACGGAAATCGAATATTTTGCAAGACAGAGAATAATACGAGGTTTCGCAAAAACTCAATTAATAGAGATTTGTTACACTTCCTATCTCTTAACTTTATTTTAATTTCTTAATTTTGATCCACAAATCCGGAAATCTCATATTTCGCCTCATCTAATCTCAACACTTTTTATATATATATATGTATGTGTTTTTTCTTCTTCTTGTGTTTTATATTATCGAATCGTTATTGAATCTAATTTTTAGGTCTTTAATTCTTTGGTACAGTTTTTTTTTTTTTCTATCTACATAAATTAATATAAATATAATAAATAAAAAAAACAGGAAATAATATATGACTGAACAACAATACACCTATCTACGTATCAGGCCATCCTGAATTAAACAAGTTTCTTATGGCACAAATAAATAAATGCATCACATACTATTTTCCAGAATAAATATAACACGTAATAAATCTGTTATTCAATTAAAAACATGTTCGTGTAAAGAGAAGAAATATAAGAATGATAATTGAAACAGAAAAGTATGAGTATCTTACGCGCTGCGAAGCACTTGTCTAAGTTGCGTATAGATCAGGAAGAAGAAAAAATATCATTTAACTTGGAACAAGTGCCTCAAAGCGCAAAACATATGGCTTATATAATTTATAAATTGATCTACTCTTTGCACACACACAAAAATTACGTAATCGCTATTTTACAACAAAATGCAATGTATGTGGTTTTTATAACTATCATTATGAGAGAACGAGTGTTCCTCTTTCTTTCGCAACATTTCCCTCTTTCCGTTGTTGAGAGCTGTCGAGCGACATCGATTGTTTCCGTTGTGAGCCTACCGATATACGCATATAACAAAACGCGAACTCCCGAACAGAGAGTACGCAGAAGACAATGAGAAGAGAGATAGCGCCGCAGCCGGAGGGACAAAAATTGTTCTATCGAGAAAACTGCGACGTGAGATAATTAGATGTAAGCGGGAGAGAGGTTCAAGGTGAGACGAGAAATGACGTTGTTGCGAATCGTTGCGCGTGTTGTTCTAGAACTCTTAATTATCTGGATAACCATAATGCGACAGTCGTGACAAACGACGACGGCAACGCCGCGCAGTCGTTCCGCCGCCATACGCTGCTCGGCGCTCGGCCCGCTTGAAGTTGAGAATGTTTTCGTGGTCGAGAGAGCAGCGGGACTACCGCCACTCTTATAGCATCTACGCATATACAGAGTTTGCATAAAAACAAATGAAATATTGACACGTAGCGCGTGTGAACAAATTTAATTTGTGTACGTTTCTTTTGTAGATTTCTCACTTTTAAGATGGGTACAGACTAGGATGCAACACGCGATGCGAGTCTCTCGTAATGTGAACGTACCTCGATCCAAAAAAATAATGAGGGTCTATAATATTAGATACGAACCTTTTGTCCACTCCTTGGTTCTCCATTTCCCGACGTGCGTGAGAGGGCGGCGTGGACATCGGCGTCAGTGAGGTGACGGGTGTTGTTGTCGGTGTCGAAGCGGGAGTGCCGCTGCGCATTGCGGAATCCTTTCGTCTGGACGCGGGAGAAGCCGGTGCAGAGCCGACAGCTCCCGAGTTTCTTAACCAGGAGTTCTTACTGCTCTCCGATTCCGTGGGTGACATTAACAATCCGGGTGAGAGTAGTACAACCGGCACCCGGGCGAACTGTTCTGTCGGTATCCGCATCTGTAAAAGATCGAAGACAGAATTTATTGCAAGAAGTTATACATCGCACGTAAGTTGTTCGGATGTAAAGAATCTCGAATTACTGACTTTCGAGTAGCACTTCACGCAAACGGTTCGCTTGCACAAACGACAACGTTGACCCCAAGGACCCAACAGACCGAACCGCGTTTTCAGACAGAGGAAACAAACGCGTCTTTTCTCGACATCCTCTTTCACGCGTCCCTCCACTGGAAGAGACTCCAATTCGGCCTTCGTGAGCACACTGCGAATGTGAACTATCTCGTCTAATGTTAACGACAATCGTTCGTCGAGCAGCATATCTCCCAGCGTTGCTTTCTGTAAAAAACGGATTACATTGTGCAATTTCGTTATGTTCAAACATCTCTCAGAGAGATTTTTCATCATCAAATTGCAACGCTGCGTTCGTTATTTTGCGTTCGCGGTACTATCAATCAGGAGACGTTTGGAGCAACGCGTGAGCAACAAGTGTTTTTAATCCCTGACAATTTGTATTCAACTGTTGCCGGTTCTAATTTGCTTAAAAACGATAAGAGAGCGCGTGCGCGAAACAAAAACGTATTCCTTACCTTATCAGCATCGTCCTCCCACTCGCCGTGAGCTTTGTCATCCTTTCCCTCGTGTGTAATTGTGTACGCCCGCCGCGGTTGTCTCTGTGCTCGTGGCTGCGGACTGAGACTCGGACTAGGATTCAAACTAATATTGGGACTCGGGCCTTGGCTCAAAGATGAATCCGTGAGACCAGCGTGCTGTCGACTCTGCGGTCTCGACTGCGGAAGCGACATGGTTCCCGTGAACGGTATGAAGGGTATAGCACACTTCGCAGCGTGCCTCTTCGCAGATGCTCTCCGCGAAGGACATTGTGTCGCCAGGTCATAAGCTGCGAACGAGCAAAAACAGATCTTTACATAGATTTTACGAGATATATATAACAGATCTATATCGCGACTTTTCTTAAAAATCACTTAAAAAATCAAGAAAATTAAATTCTAAAAAATTAACTAGATTTTTTCTAGTTACTTCAATTTTATCAATGAATTTCAAGTAACATTTACCTCAGCGAGTAAATGATTAGATAAGATAAATTTTTTTATCTAATCTTTATAACGTATATTCATTTTATGACGTTCAGGTATATTGATAATTCAAATATAAATAATATACACAGTTGTAGAGGTGCAAATAATACGAAAACAAAAAAAAAACATACACGTAATCAAACGGAAAACATTAAACAACATCTGTGTTTTGAGGAAAAGATTTAAAAAAAAAATACTAGGACGAAAGGGAGAAACAAAAGGCGCACGCCATACGTAAAAACAGCAAATATAGTGTTTACAATAAACAAAATAACAAGACAACAAAGTTGCAAATATTATTTATAACAATTACATTCCAGTTGGGCATCGCAGAATCGGTGATACTCGTTTCTGGTCAGCCGAAGTCCGCCGGTTTTTCGCCAAGGATTCGCAGATCCCGCTTCATCATCGTGTTCATGATCTTTATGACCATTTCGTATACCTTCTCGAGCACCAAAATTGTAATCCTTGAGCCAGTAATTAGATGCCTCATCATCTTCCTCCTCAAACCTCTCCGTGATGTCGTCTTCGGTATAATCATCGTCGTCGTCATCCTCGTCATCTTCCGCATCCAACTGTGTGTTCAAATAACACATTATCACACATTTCTTCGGTAATTACGGTTTTTCAAAAAAAAAAAAAAACCTATATAAGATAAAAAGAAAAAATAAAGAAACACCTTCAAATCGAAATCGACAGGTATCACTTTCTTAGGTCGTTTAGTAGCATCCTGGTTTAGATTTCTTCCAGGCGGCTTCGGAACTGCCAATGAATCATTTTCCTTTACTTTCTCACCGTTTTGTGTTATATCTAAAAAATTCGCAACAGCTTTACTTAAATTTCGAGTAAATTTGTAATATCACAGCACACACATAATTCTATGTTGTGTGATATGAAGCGATAAAATAACTCGGAAATTAATGACGAAGGAGGAACATGTTTTTTTTTTTTACATAAACAATATTATGCAAATAGAATGTGATCGTGCCTCTCACTATCAGCTGGCTTTAATGAACAATCGCTTTTTTGTTCTTTTTATTGATTTATATTTATTGTTTGTTTACTATATGAAATATTGTTTAGATTTTGTTTGAATTTTTTTTTTTTGCTATATGATATTTTCAAAAACTAATTATCAGTTACAGTATATTGTCAATGAATTTTCTGCATCAATTTACATCAATTGTTGCTGATTCTTTGTAACAAGTAACTGAGTTTTGTAACATGTGGAAACATATGTTACGCACGAACATGCACGCATACATATATACACGCGCAGCATATTAGTCTATATTATATTTATACATATAGAGCATTCCATAATTATTTATACACAAGCGATAATTCTCTTTCCAATCGAGATTACAAAAAAAAAGACTGCACGATGTTTTAGAGAAGGAAAATAAAAAGTATGCTTCAGATCTTATGCTCCATAAATAATAGCGTCTATATATCTGTCTAAAGCTACATGAATGCAGCTTTATGATATTGGAATATTGAATCAATAAAGTAGATGAGCCATGATATGACACTGACATTTGAAAAGTCACCTTCGTAGAGAGAGAGACAAAGGAAAAAAAAAGTGAATCAAAGACTGATTTCGCTTTCATGCAATGATCTTGTGCGCAATGAGTTCGAAAAATGTAAAACGTTTAATACAAATTTAAGAAAAGAGATCTTACACATACACGTAATACTCCCAGTGCATTTAAAATATCCGTTATAAAATTATTATAGAAAGGCTTTCTGTTAAAAATCGGTTCTTTAGATATATTACGACACACTCATTAAATGACAATGAATGAGAATGAGATGATTACCTGCGACCGTAATGCGTCTTCTACGCGACTTACGATTCCTATTGGAAGGTTGGACCCTGAGGTCGAGTCGCTCCTTGACGGTGCGTTGCCGGGGTTGCGGCACAGGTGGCATGTTTTGCCTCCTGCGGCTCGCCGCCAGGACGCCACCGGCCGTCGACGTTGTCTTCTGATCCTCCGACTGCAACCACTGAGCAGCGACATCCTGAGCGGACTCCTGCTCCTGCTCCGGTTGCGACGGTGGCACTTCTCCGAGGACTATCATGCGAGACTCGCCGCCTACGTCGCCTGAGAAAATTGAAGTCGTGATTTGCACATTATATATAAAATATCACACAATTTCGGTCATCAGTTCAGTTTCAATAAGACAGTTTATCGTTCGCTTATCTAATTTGTCACTTGTTTTGTAAATATTAGTCTCGTCATCGCATACATTTTTTCTTATTTAAAATGTGATCTTATTTTTTTTATAAGCGTAAATATTATATTAACATTTATTGTATAAAATAACTTTTCTTTTTAATTAAAATAGATATAAAAAAAATGTTGAATTGAAACGACTTATTAATAATTCAACGGAGAACTTGCGCTATTTAATAAATCATATCAATTAAATTGATACTTGTCTCGCGTTTGTTTTATTATATTAAATATTTCCGCTTTCTTACATTTTACGAAACATACTTATTTATCTTTTGTTTTTAGTTTATTTATCTTTTGTTTTTTTTTTTTAAGAGAACGTTACTTGGCAAAGACGACGAAGGCAGCAGATTCTAATCTTGATCTGACGATGTTACAACAACTTTAAAGAAAGCAGGCGAGAACTCGTGGCATCTTTAGACTCGTCGAGATTGAAGGAGATTTTGAGAGCGAACGTTGCCATTCTCGGCGCTCCGAAGAATGTGTCTATAATTTATCCTTAAAAAGAAGGAATGATCGGGAAAGAGAATCTTTCTTGAATTTTGTTTTGACTTCCGTATAATTGAGCTCCTTTTTTTTCTTTAAACACAGAACACTTTAACAAATGAAATCTCGCTAGAGAAAATATCAAGACACATATTTTTCCGAGAAATCACAACATAGATGTCTGTATATTTTAGATCTTTACTTATGTATCGTCCTATGCGATATCACTGCGCGCATAATTTTGCAAACAACAAAGACAAACAACTGTTCACGTTTTCTTCCACATTTCTTTGAATCACAATAATTCTTTCTTTTTTTTTTTTAATTTGAAAGTTTATTCCAAGATTTATTTACAAAGCGAGATGTCCGCACATCGAGGACATCGATCGACTCGTTTATTTTACGGGGTTTTTAATATTTCGAGAGTAGAGAGAGGTAGCACAAAATTTCACAGAACGAGAACGAGATCGTTTTTTCTTTTTTTTTTTTTTAGGCGACAAGACAGAATACGCGAGGAAGGGTTGACATACGAATGGACTGGCGTGCCGCGATGACGTTTCGGGTAACGTCAGTTCACCTTTGCACGTTTTCAAGTTATTGATCGCGTCTACATCGTGTCCGGAACACTGTGTTTCTCCCTCTCTCTCCCTCTCTCTTTCCCTTCCTTCTTTTCTCCTTCTCTACTCTGTCTTGCGCTCGTAGCGCATGATACCTACACTCCGCAAGGCGCGATTCAATATCGACTCTTTGATACAATTCACATCTGTTAATTGAAAATCTTTAAATAACTACAAAAAAACAAAATGTCACGCGTATAAAAATGTAACAATTAAAAAACTTAATTAACAGAAGAATATAAGCGATGTACTTCGTGCATTTTAACATCCCGAGAAGAACAATGTGAGAAAATTGTAAAAATGTTGAAAATCCGCGAAGAGCAAACGACAAAACATTCCGAGACAGCGGAGTTTTTATTTAAATTTCTCTTCAAAAAAGTTAAAGAACTTCAAGAATATTGAGACAAGTGTCCAATTATTGAAAAAGTTTAAAACAATGACACAATGTCAATGTGCCTAACACAAGACAGATATTGAGACGTTTTATTATTTTTTTTTTTAATAATGTCAGCAATCACACATTAAAACGTAGCTGATATTCGAGTAAAATTATTTAACGAGATCAATATAAAACATTTCTTTAAAATTATGTGAAGTTATTTGCGTGAATATCGTAATTAACATTTTCAAATTTAGTGCTACAGGACTTACAAGTTAACGTCTCTTCGATCTTGGGAATGGTGTCTTGTCTCAAGCGAGAGGATCTTAAGGGTTTCGGTGGCTTCTTTATACTTTCCATGAGTAACTCTCTCAGTGTATATTCTTTCTGCAAGGGCCGTAATCGTCTCTCGGATGCCTGTGCACATTGACAGACTACTTTTTACCCAAAGCTCGTTTTATTCATCAATATTTATTCGATGTATATTTTGATCTAATATTAATATCGTATTCAACTTTTTAACGTAAGCTTCCCGAATTCCCTGAATCTAGTTTGTAAAACCTTGCCTTTTTCAGAGGTGGTCGACTTCGAATGAATTCAAGAATAATAGCATGCGCATCCTTCTTCGATGACGTGGGCGGTGTCTTCCTTAAGTGATAACGTCTCTCCCTGATGTCGTCCATCAAAATCTCGTAAGGCGTCATCTTGTAGTCCGGGCGATTTCCCTGTTCGCGCGACGCGCGACTACCTAAATTAGCTTCCACCTTTTTCAATTTCACTCCTCGTCTCAGTTCGCTGATAACTTGAACCCAAAATCTAGCCTGACAATGCATTTAATAAATTTTTGTCATAACACTCTGACGTCAATACGCTCTCACATAATAAAATACAGAATTTCCACGTAATAAAATACAGTTAATTAAAACTGTTATTATATATTTCAAAACTTTGTTTTCATATAAAAAAAAAAAAAAACAATTTTGCAACTAAACGTCTATTACACTTGAAATTGTATAATGTTATTAACACTATATACTTGCAAAGAACTTTATATAAATAAGTTGCTTTCTCTGAAGTAAATCAAATGTTTATTCTTTCACGAAACAACTTCAATTTTATTTGTTCTATAAAAATTCTAATAAACTTAGAACTCATGCTCTGCGTGCATTTGTCATGCTTCAATGGATATACACTATATAATTCCTAATCTTAGAACACAATCAATCAAATCAAAAATAAATAATAATGCGACATAAACTACAAAATGATTGCAATAAATTTTGTTCAGACAAACGTACTTGTATAGCTCTCCAAATTCTAACGTCCGTCTACAAGAACAAATGTAATTAACGATCAATAGATCTTACGTGTAAACCACATGTAATCATTATTACACGTTACTTCTCATTTTATTTGTTTTAATGTGGTTTTCTCTTTTTGTCGCACAATTCTTTTTTCTCGATAAACTGCGAATCAATCTCTTTTACTTTTCTTTCTTCCTCTTTTTCTATCTTTTTACTTTTTTTTTTTTTTCAAAAATTTGAGACATTTTTTGTATTCACGAAGAAAACTCACCCAATCATTGAAGTCCAAGGCGTCAATGTTCTGCAATGAAGTCGAAGTACGGTCATTAGTTTGCGGACTGTACAAGTCTTGTGATTGCTTGTTAACAACCACTTTTTCCAGAAACTGAGAGAGATTAAGAGCCTCCTCCACAAACGCTTGTATCACATTCCGGTAATAATTATCAGGATCTTCTTGTAAACTTTGCACGTGTCTCGCACATATCTGAAATAAATAAAAAAAATTTCTGTATTAACAAAAAGTCACTTTAAAGAAGATCTACATACCACACTGATCTTATAAATCTTTACATGAAAAATAAGAAAAATAACACATATGAACTCACTTGAAGAATAGTTTTCAAGGTACATGTGGAACTCTCTGGATACGCTTCGGTAGTTTTCAACGTCGTATAATCTTCCACATCAGTATCACCAGAATCTCGTTCAATGCCCTCGTCATCAGTTTCCTGTAGACGTTCCTCTACGTCACATTCGGATGCTGCAAGTTCAATAAAATAGCACTTTAGTTACAATTTAGAACTCTGATTAAATGCACAATTGCCAAGGAGAAAAAGATGCAACTTACTTACCAGAAGTAGCACAATTTGTCATCAATGAAATAAGAGCTTCTAAATCTGATGATAAGGCTATTTCCTCTCCCGGATTAGAGCCAAAGTCCAAGGCCTTAAAGATTGCCATTCCTAATGCAAATATAGCCTAAAACGAGAAAGAAAACAATCTTAATTAAATATAATAAAGAAAAAGGCCAATAGAAATCACAACATAAAAATATATATCCCAGATATTAATAAATTATACAATTATTGTGATAAATCAATAAATCGCTATTATGACGTATTATGACTTTCACTTTATAACATAATTTTTTATAACATAATCAATACAAATTTAAACTTGTTTAACTAAAGAAATAAAGATTGAAACATTTTATGTTAGTAAAATTTGATTTATATTCATTAACATGATTATGTTTGATTTATTATTTTGATATTTCCAGATTGTGGCTTGTACTGATCTTTTCGTGATATAATTTATATTAAACAAAATATTTGCAGATAATTTTTAAAACAAAAAAATAAATTTTTACAATCTGTACATTTACCTTCTCTTCCGAAACAAGAAGTTGTTTGGAACCTGTAATCATTACAGTGTAAAGTAAGTCATCCTATTAATTTTCAGTATGTTAATGGATTTATAAATAAATGCTTTTCTGTAGCACAGAACACTCACCTGTCGAATTTTCAAGTCGAATATCTCCATCCTTGTGAAGTATAATTTGAGAAAGATCAGATATTTCAAAGAACTTATTTTCCTTTGAGATTAGTAGGCCTTTGGTTATCTGATAGCATAATGCCCATGCTCGTTCTTGATCTATAGGACTGTCAAACATCAACAAAATATCCTGAAGATTTAAACAACCATGCGAGTCCAGCTCACACTTGGGTCGTGTTGAGGTTTTTTCTTTTTTCTTCACTGTTGCTTGTGACTCTTCCTTGTGCTCCATATCTTCTTTCTTACTAAAGACTGGATTTTTCTTAGAATTTGACATTATATGATAGTTTTGTTTTATCTAGATATGTTAGGCTAATCTTGTGAAGAGCAGCATTAGAGTTACTGATAGTAAATCTGTTAATTTATCTATATAACCTTTGGTGCTCTTTACAGCATATTGTGTGTGATACATTATTTTCTTCTGTATAATCATACATGTGGCAATTATTTAGCAGTGCACCTACTGTATTATCTTGCACAAAGTGATTACAGTTCGCAAGAATCATACATAATTTTGTGATCATGAGCAATGTTGAATTCCAATTCTCTGCTTGCAGTGATAAAGTTGTTGCCTTACATAGAGCACTGATTGCAATTTACGATTAATCGCCTGAAACACAATTTGTGTATACAACACGTATGAAAAATTTGATAAAAATACCAAGTGTACATCATGCATGTATTTTATCTCTCTGCACCATTATAATTACCGCAATAACAACATCATAAAGATAAGAGAGAGAAGCATTACTACTTACGGATTTTTATAATTAACAAAGAGAACATAAACATATTTGCTCCTTACGCATCGAAGTTTCGTAGGAGAACTAATCGTCCTTGAATTATCCTTATCCTTCTTCTTCGTGTTCATTCGGACTGCCTGTGGTGATGCTGATAACGCGGCCTTGTGGTGTGAATAACAATAACGTTCATTTGGAGCCAAGATCTTACGCTAACTGTGATTGGTCAATTTTGCCAATCGTCTGATGCGATTGGTCAAATTCCATCGTGACTGATCCTTAAGTTTGTTCTACAAGAACAAAGCGGTTTGAAGTTGGCTCATTGGTTCGGTGAGGTTTTGGTCCGACCAATGAAAAGAACTGACCGTGGCAAAAGTTTCCAGGACAAGACAACACATACGAAACCAGAGAGCGGCAACGCCACGAAAGGAATCCTTGAAACTACGTAGCAAGAGCCGTACTGTCGATACAACGCCGTTTGCAGCCGTTTGGTTTGAGTCCGTGCAAATCTGCGTCGCATCCATCAATATGTAAAAAAGAAAATATTTTAAATTTCTCACATACGCGCGCATGTGACATATATTTTGCAGGTCCTCACGCAAATATTGTGAAAATTGCGGGCATATTAAAAAGAAGAAATCAAACAGAAACAAAAAACAACATGCAATATGTATAAAAATTTTATATTGCGTAAGAAGAATGTTATTTTTAAATATAAATAATTTTCACACTCCTATAATGATGGATGAACAATGGCATTTCGCGGAAAAACGTGCGTTTCCTCGCGCATTCTTATTTGCATCCTTGTGGAAATTCCGAATCCTTGATTACGTAATACGGAGAGAAAAATAGTCTCGTCAGCATAATATATACGATCTTCACAACTGTCTCTCTCTCTGCGCACAGGTTTTAAGTTATCTAATTGCTTATTGTGTGTTAAATATACGTTTGTACATACGAGATATTAAACGTGCGCATATCAAATAACAATATGTACAAACGGTAGATAAATTTTATTTACTTTTCGTTTTTTTTTTCTCTCTCGCAATATTTAACTTCGCGCTTAAACGAAAATCCGAACAATTTCCTGTCTCACTGCGATAAGAAAGAAAGTAGTAGAAAAAAAAACAACAACGTGTAAATAACGCACAATAAAGATCTTAGATCCGTATCTCTAATTGCAAAAGATAATTTTACTATCTTCTCTTTTCTATTATTATTTTATACGATAGTATCTGTTGTTCGCCTTTGTTTCTTTCAATAAAACTATAATCTCGCAGATAAATATTGTATTTATTTATCAATACAATATCAATATTGTATTTATTTATCAATAAATTGCCGACAACAATGGGAGTGAAGTGCACTTTGCGTTTCTTTTTCTTTCTTACGTACACACACTTATCAATAATGTCGTATTTTTGAAGAGACAGTTAATTCATTATCGTCAATAACAATAGAGTTTTGTATTTTTAATTGTTTGTTGGGCACACAGAAAAAAAATTGTAATTTTCGAGAGTAAAAAACGCGATAAACCAAAGCAAATCGCCGCCGCGCGACGAAAAATCGAGTAACGTCTCACGTGTCTCTCTCGAATGAAAAAATACTCGTTGACGAATAATCCCCCGTTCTTACGAGCATCCGAACGCCGGAGAGTTCTTCAGTGGAAAGAAGCGCGCGATGGTATAAAAACACGTGTTTATCAGTTTTCACTATCACACGCTTAGTAGCATGCAGCAAGTGTGGACCGCGGAGAAGAAGACATCAGGCACGCAATAGGACGTCGCGTTTCATCGTTCGTTTCCCATGTGAGAAGATTCTCTCGTAGGCGGATAATTGTCTGTTTTTATATATTCGCGATGATTCAATCAACGCTATCGGCAAATATCACGGACGTGCGTGGGAAAAACTCGCGGCAGAACAATCGCTAAGTGAAAATTCCGCATCAAGGAATTCTCTTCTCGCACACTTGTTTAGCGATTTATTACAATTCATTTTTTATCGTAAAAAAAAACTAAATAATTCATACGCCGAGAAGAGCGAGTTTTTGCCGGCGATTGTTAATTTCAAGTTGCAGTAAAAAAAAAAAAACTATAATTTATGGTCGCGACGAGAATCGAATATGTGAGGCGTTACAGCGCTGACTTAACTTCTCATTAATTTTATTTCGTTTGTTTGTTTGTTTTTTTTTTTTCAGAACATCAATCGAGTCTAAATACTACAGCAAACATGTCGCCGAACGTGTTGGGTGTACTTTTGCTCGTTGCTTTAACGGTGACGGTTCCTTCCGTCCTGTCGTCATCTGAAGGGTGTACAACAACTTCGGAGTGTCCACCAAACTTCTGCTGTCTGCTTCGTTCGTATTTTTGCTCTTTTTCTTTTTTTTTACTGGGCATTCAGTTGTCATCTAGATCACATTAGTGCAATTTGAATAACAAAAATGTACGTCTGTTTGTTTTCAGAGCCCATGAGATATGCGATACCCACCTGCGTGCCGGTTCAACAAAAAGGTGAAATATGTCGTCCAAACGCCAGCACTATTACAACCAACCTGACGTATCCGGACAATTCCCGTTTGGAAGTTAAAGACATCAATTACATCCTGTGTTCTTGCATCGACGGATCGTCTTGCAATCCGAGAAAGGGCGTTTGCACTTAAAACGCGCTTCTCTTCTTTATATCTGTACGCAGAAACAAATGATCGAGATGTTACGACTCAAGGATTACGATGACTCGAGATACAAAACAACAAAAACGCGCTTTTAAATATTTTGTGAATAAGTTAATAACATCACACACATTAAATTACTTTATCTGAAACATGTATTGTTCAAGCTTGAAGAAATTGGCGCGCCGACGAGAGAAATCGTCATATCGCATTGTTGTGTTGTTTTTTTTTTTTTTATTTGTAATTTATATATGCAAAGTATTATTATATATTTTACTTATACCGCAGCTTGATATATAAGATAAATGCGTTATATATGTGTACCTTTGTTACAGAGAAAAGTTGTTAAAATAAAATAAAATAAAAAAAAAACAAACTAATTAACAATCACGTGTGTCTCAAACTGTAATCCGAATTGTACAAATTTGTACTCCCCCCGCGCAATATATAAACTTGTATTTATTTTTCTCTATTTTTTATATTCATTAATGCGAATGTGAATTTTTACACCGCGTCGCAATTTTTTTGTAATAACAGTGACGTGCACATTAATTTTCTAGATATTAATTATCGTGTGACCTAAGAACATGTTTCGGATAAACGCGCACGTCGCGCGCGTTTATCAATTTTAGCCGAGGGCTTTTTGTAAATATATGCAACAATCATTACGCGTTACGGTTTTTTGTAATGTATCATTACGACCAACACACATCTGTGTCTGTGAATTTGGACGATGGGTCCAGTTCTGATTGTAAGCTGCGATCTCGATACTTTTTTAGATCGTGCGCACAAGTTTTATTTATTTAGTTAAAATTATTACGCACGTCACTCCGTTAGCTCGCGAGGACAATCCGAACAAAAATCACATATTGCAGTTTGTCACGTTACCCGCCGAAGAAAACCACTTTGCGCCAACGAGTTTCTACGTAGTTAACGTGCACGAATCACAGATGGCGAAAGCTGATCCAAAAATTTCGAACAGCTGCGAAACAACTGTTAACAGCGTCTACTTGTCAATGTAAAAATTAATGTTCGGAGAGATTGTAACATTGTTTTGTATACAAACGCATGTAGTACAAGTGCGTAAGTAAATTTTAAAACAGAAGAGAGCAGAGTGAGATTGTTGAACAATGTTTAGCACCAAGTCGTTCGACGTCGTAAGCTTCAATTCGGAATTGTCTACTGTGAAGTAAGTTGTTTTTTTTTTTTTTTTTATTTTTAATCCTTTTCTCTCTCGCTGTTATTTTATTATTTTTATTTAATCCTTTTTTCTCCCTATTTTATCTTCCACTATTGTTGCAAAACACTCGCGTTACAATGTAATTGTATGCATTTTTATTAGGAAATCTAAAAACAAATGATAAAATGAATGATAATTATTCCGCTTTTTTCCAGGTCGGAGGCGTCCGCAAACGTTCAAACGACAGACATAGTTCACACCTCCAATGATACACAAACTGCAGAAACAAGGACCGTTGGGGTATATCCAACATTTCTCCATTTTGTTGGATTCCAGAGTTTTTTTTTTTTTTTTTTTAATATCGCAGAGACATTTGCATGGAAATTCGTATGGAACAACAATTTTACAATTTTAGATTCAAACTTCGAATGAACAAAAAACCAACGTGGACGTGAATTACGACAAACTCGCAGAGTTTCTGAAAAGAGTCACACCGGGTATTCTCGAGGCCCTCGATGAAGCTTACGGTATCAACGCTTTCGACGATTATGATCCGGACGTTACGGATGGTTCCTCCGCAAATGTTAAGTTGTTACAAAAAATCAATGCGTCGGGACAATCTAACACTCAGGTATGATTTTTTTTTTTCGACGTAACATGAACTATATTTCATATTACGGTTGTTTAACGTTATCAACACTTTGTGTAGATTAAAGTGAGCGATCTATCGTGGAGCAATGTCGGCGGAACGTTAGCAGTCGGTCTTGGCCACACTTATCACGAGGCGTGGTGCGATCATCTGTCCGCGATTCACTTGTACAATCTCACAACGGAGGACAATCTCACGGACACACCCATCAAAACGTTAGAAACGAACGGATGCGTCACAACGTTATGTTATCATCCGACGGAACCTTCTATTCTTGCAATCGGGTCGTCTAATTGTGAGCGTCCTCGTTCCGTCCGTTTTATATAATCTTCAATTCACACGTTGTTACATCAGGTTTAACAAATTTCGCATTTCAGGGGATGTGTCGGTGTGGAATCTCAGAAACGACGACTCTATCACGCCCACGCACGTGTGCACGCACAACGATTGCGTGTCCCAAGTGTGGTGGAGACCGAGATCGGTGAACGACGTGACGTTGTTGGTGAGCTCCAGCAAGGACGGATACGTACTGATTCACAAATTGTCGGCTAACTTCACAACCGTCCAGCTGCACAAACGGTATTGCAATCGCGCGTAATATAAAAATTACAAGAGTGTTTATTTACGCACAAACGTTTTATGATGTTTCAGATTCAAGATAGTGAAGGAACGTAATCCGGTGGAAAGCGTCAGGCCGCGTAGCGCCGGAGGTACGCGCGAGCGTGCCGCGGAAGCGGGATTGTGCATCACGAGTTTTGATTTTTCTCCGAAGCATCCGAGTATATTCGTCGTCGGGACATTGTGCGGCGGGATCTACAAGTGCAGCTTGGACAGCGTGACTCCCATCGAAGGTTCGCACGTGTTTACGCGAACGCGCGCGTAGAAGTTTCGTTACATGTCGATATTTTTAGGAGACGCAACGCTCGTGGATCCTGTGATCGACGAATACGAAAGACACGGAGGTAGCGTCACTTGCATCAAGTGCTCGCCGTTACGTAATTTATTTGTCAGCGGCGCCACGGATAAGGAAATTCGTATATACAATCTCGATGAGGTAAATATATTTGAAATATTTTGATTTGTCTCCGAGTCTCAGCGATTAAACCGATAGCAAACTAGTGGATAGAACCAATTAGAATCTATTGCGTGTTGTGCAAAACACTTGGTAAATGTACAGAATAGGGGAGCCCCCTCCGATCGGCTTCTCGTTTTGATATATTGTAAATATGATCTTCCTGAGTACGTTTCTAAAAGTTTTAGCCGTCGCTCATTGTTTATAAAAAACTTATGAGCAAAAAAAGTTTCATGAATAAACTATCGTTTTTCGACACCGTGTACATTTTTCGTGTGTTGTAAGCATGTAGGCAGGGGAGGCTGCGCCCCCCCGCAGGGGGGAGGGGCTTCGCCCCTCCCCCCTGCTTCCCCCTCGAGGAGAAATAGAAAACGACTTCTGATTAAGTGTCGCTAAAAATCACGTACATACTATCGAGATGAAGCGACATGTTTTCTCCTCGAGGGGGAAGCAGGGGGGAGGGGCGAAGCCCCTCCACCTGCGGGGGGGCGCAGCCCCTCCTGCCTACACGCTTGCAACGAAGAAATGAAAACAAATCGTATAGCGATTCAACCGATAAATATATTTGTTTACGAATACGAACGAAGGAATCAAAACAAAACAGAAAGTTTCGCGATATGCTATATATACACACATTGTTGGCAACATAAACATTACTCATTTCCTTCTGAAATGTACACGGTGTCGGAGAAAATTGGTTTATTCATGAAACTTTTTCTGTTTATAACTTTTTTATAAACAATGAGCGATGGCTAAAAGCTTCATATTGTTACTCAGGAAGGTAATCTTAATAACATATGTGAAAAAGAAGCCGATCGGAGGGGGCTCCCCTATTCTGTACATTTACCTACAAATGTCAATGTTGTAGGATATAGATATAACTATCATATATCTGTGATGAACCGAACGTTTTTAGAAAAAATTTTTCTCTAATTAACCTTATCATTAGTTCGTAAATGTATTTATTCTGAATGGAATGCGGGAGATATTTGAAGTGTCTTTTTCAGAGAAAAGAAAAGTTCTACCGTATGATATTTCGAATCGAATTCAGTTCGAATTATTTATGTAATAATAATTTCATACGTTTAAAAATATATTTCGCGCGCATCTTCACTACGTGGCTCACATTAACCGAAAACTTCTTTTCTAATTATAGGAGCTTAAATTTGTGAATTTTTGCTTGTAATTGTATATTTTCTTCATTACTGGCATAATCGTTGTATTGTATCAATCAATTTGGAGTGTTTTTAAATCACGTTGTAAATTGTTGTGTGTAGCACATCAGTCAGCAAACCGTTTCTGTAGACAATACAGTCGTGGGATTAACATGGATGATTGGCAATCAGGATGTGTTCGCAGCGTACGGTGCGGACGCGTTTATAAAATTCTACAACGTCACAGATAGCAAAGCCGTGACGTGCGCGAATTTCAACGTGACTGGCAAGGATAGCATCGGTTGCTTACGCATCAATTCCAAGAGGTGCGCGGTTGTAAGATAACAAAATCAAAATGATTCATTCTCTAAAAATGTCTTTCTCCTTTCAAATTTTAACCCTTTTAGTGCCGAACAAAAACTGATGCCTATGCGAAGATAACCGAACGAATTTGAGGAATTTACTAAGGTTCCGGAAAAAGCCCATAAAAACCAAATTAATTCTAATAAACATTTTTTCAATTGTAGTCCATCGAATTTCAATCATTTTAACGTTTTATAAAATTATTTAATGATATGTACCTCTTCTGATGCGTGTAACACAACGCCAACGCATGAACGACGATATATCGTCGTTGGCACTTTTCGCAAGTGTATCAAACGACGATATATCGTCGTTCGGCACTAAAAGGGTTAAATACAAAGGTTCACACGTCACATAAATTTGACATGAAATTTGTCTCATTTGTTTACGCAATTTCTCGACGCGTGTGGTTTTTCTAAAAAGGAAGAAGAAATAATTAGTCAAGACTTGTGTATACTTATATAAGATGTTAATATTTATTTCTGTGCTTGTTACAGAGATATACTTGCTGTCGGAGATGTTCGTGGGAATATTGAAATATGGAAATTTCCACGTAACTTGTTTTAAACAAACTTATCTCTGACTGACGCACATTTTTTGCGATATATCTGCTGAATTTGTACCGAAACACTATTACACTTCGTGCTGCACATACAAATTTGTTTTTTTTTGTACTGAAAATAAAAAAGTATGTTCGTGAAACATTGAACCACCTTCTTTAAATCACAGCCTGACTTCTCGATAAACGAGAAACGAGAACGATCCAATCCCCGATAAGACGTTTGCCTGGAATTGGGGTAACTGGGACGTTAACACACATATCTACCAAATCCGCTTATATTCCTCTGAAACAAGTAAAAATAAAACTTACACGACGAACACATATGCGTATAAAAAAAAAAAAACATTGCTTTCTACAAATAGATTTGTCATTTTAGTTATCTCAGTTGTGCAATCGGAAATTGAGTCAAACTCGCGGTTTCACAATTTCGCAGTTGAAAATATCGGAATATTCTCGAAGTGACTAGAATCTGCTGTATGTTTATTCAACGATTCGGTCTCAATCTTATCGCGTTAAACCGGATCTACTTTGTAACCAAATTTCCGATTGCGAAAGAGATAGTGAAGTTTTATTCAAAGTTGTGAAAACTTTAATAAAATATATCTTTACCGATTCTTTAGACAAGTGGATTTAAAAAAGTGGATATAAAAAAGAACTTATTTTTATTACCTTTGTTTCTGCAATTGTATAAACACGCAATCTGAAAAAAAACTTGTTTATTATAGGAAATATGTTTACGTAAAACAAAAACAATTCTTTATTATTATATTTCAGGTACGGTGAAATTTTTGTTCTAAAAAGAACAGTTTTGGTTTTGACTCGTTGTCCAGATTGTTCCTTGCCCTTAAAAGGGCAGTTTTTAATTTTATCCTGAAAAGGACAAATTTATAAATCGCACACATTTGTGCGCATGCTTGACACGATTGATATTTTTTGTCCTAAAAAGGACAGTTTAATCGTTTTGACACAATCGGGCCTCATGATCGTTGCCTTGAAAAAGGCAGTTTTTAAATAATGTCCTGAAAAGGACAATTTGTGAGATAGAGACCCACTTGTGCGCATCCTTATTGCTTTAACCAGAGCAGACGTATCATCGTTTGGATACATTTGGGGGTCCCCCGGAAGGGACCCTGGAAAGATATAAAAAGGATAATACAGGAGAATTTAGGGAAAAAACGGAATATTTGATGGGGGAGAACGAAAATAAAAACGACTTTTCTCTCTCGTTAAGCATCTTGCAAATCTTGAAGACAGCGGAAACTCACTAGTTCGAATTCGTCAATTTTTCCATGCTGTATACAGATAAAAGGATTTTTTGTTTCGTAAAGAAGGAGACAATATAATAGGAAAAATTAGGAAAAGGAATGGGGAAAGGGGGGGGGAATAACTAAAAATTTCTTTTGCACTTTTCTGGGATGTTTCTTCTTTTGCTTTTCTTTGTATGAACGTAAAGATGTAAATCCGTTCTTCTCACACATGTGCGAACTTTGAAGATTCCTCCTTTGTTGTCTTTATAACGCGGCAGTGCAGTTTTACTTGTACGCGCGAAACTCGTTAGACGAGTCCCGGAACTCCATTTCTCTTCTTTTTTGTTTTTTTCACTTTTACGTCATCTTCTCGTCATCTGATATCCTCACCGATATTTCGTCCACTGCTTTTTTTTTTCTACTTCTTGTGTTTGCCGATCGCTTGATGCGAATATGTGTGTTATACGACGTCGACCCACATCTCTCGAACTATTATACGAACTTTTTAACCCCGTGTGAGAAGATGTATTAATTGTGCTGCGCTGAAGTGTGTATATATATTTGTATATATATATATATTTATGTATGTACTTTGGAAGTAACAGGGCGGAAAAAGTTCCAGTAAAACGCATTGTTCTCTCTTAAATATCATCTGTCAGAATTGATGTCTATCGGATTATTATTGCACGCCAAATTTCACCACCACTGTCTTTCTTCTGTTTCTTCCTTCTCTATTCAACTTCTTCGTATTCTTTCATTTCATCTCTCATACATTCAACACGCACGCTCTCTTTTGCTTCTCTCTTTCTCTCTCTCACACACACACACACACACACACACATACACACTCTCTCTCTCTTAACGATTTCGTTTTCACACTTGAAATTATTTATTTTTTTTTTTTGGTGCCTTTTATATTAAAAAAAGACATTTTTTTCTGGTCCATTTTTCTTCTTGAAAATCTTAAACACTCGCTTCCAATCACTCGCTCACACTCAGACTATCGCTCTGCCAACGAACGGAGAGCTTTTTTATATATATTTGCTGCTCCGTTCTTCGCGATCATTCACACCTAAGAACATTACGTTTCCTTAAATCTCCATCCTCCGTTTTCCTTTCTTCTTTATAATAATTCTCTGTCTTTTACGGCTAACTTAGCTTTTCTGTGAACTTTATAAATTTCATCTTCAAGAAACGCGCCAGTTTTAATAAACGTGCAAAAGCACAGTACGATATAAACAATTACGTTTTTTTTTTTTTTTTTCCGTCTTCTGTTTTTCTCGACAGACTATGGTCGAGTATATTTAAATGGACAGCTTCCGGAAAGCCTTCAATTTCCTTTTGCCCGTCCTCTTTTCTGAATGTTACCGTCCTCGTCTTTCTTCTTCTTCTTCTTCTTCTTCTTCTTCTTCTTCTTCTTCTTCGTCGATCTAGTTCTTCATAAAGAAAGTTGCGAAGTCTACATTCTTCACACGAAGGTTAGACAGAATGCAGCAGCGAGCGAAGTCAACATTCTTCTCCTCACTTTTTTTTGTTTTTTTTTTGTTTTTTTAATTTTTCCCTCGCCGATTCTTCAATCTCTTTGCGGAATCTTCTCGTCGGACGCGCAAGCACGAGACAATTGTTTCGCAGCAAAAACAACGGGATGCGCGTCGAAAGATGGCATCGCTGCTGGTAAATGTCCTTCCTCGCGTGCGATAATGCCTCCCGTCATCGCCGCGACGTCAGCAACGTCTCTCATTATAGATCCTGTTTCGAGACAAAAGGCCGTTTTTTAAACATTCTCTTTCTGATTAAGTCGCTGTGTTTCAAAAGCTGCGATGATTCTTGAAAACAATTTTCGTTTTTTTATTTTTGTTGTTTTTTTTAATATAAATTTTTCATTTGAAACAATAGATCTTGCAGTTTTTGAAACGACGTTTCTTGCACCCGAATCGTCTGAATTTTTAGAGACGCAAACCTGACATGTATCGCGGATCGTTGCCGAAACGGACAGACCATCGTCGACGGACCATCTCGTTTTTGCGCGTAACGACGAGTCTCCTTCGCCAACTTCTTCCTTTCTTCTGTTTTTTCTCTCGTATTCTCGCAGTTTTTCTTCGTTTAAAAATTTACATCGTTCGAACGAGCCGCCAATGTAAAAAAAAAAAAAAAAAAGAAAGAACCACGCTCGTGCGGTTTTTCCGGAAGTCCATCCTCCTCCTCGCGTAGCAAAATAATTTTCTTCATCTCTGCTCTCTCTTTCTCTTTCTGTTTCACCGCGGGCATTCGTACGCTTTTCTCTCTTACGCTTATTATTTACAAATTCTTTAAATGTATAATCATCGCCTATTTTACTATCATTGTCGATTGATGCTCCCTCCTCTCATGTGTGTGTGTGTATATAAACGCACGCAATTCTCTCAATCCTTAATGTAACATACGTCTATTATTTAACTCCAGTCAAAATCTTAAGTAGTAAGCTTCTGTTTTTTTTTCTTTTACATCGCTACAAAGTATAGATTACGGTTCTATGTCTTAATGTACTCTAAAAATCGCAACGGGTGAAATTGCCTTTCTTTGTTTGTCGCTGTGTTTGTGTTTTGTTTTTTCTTTTCGTGTCCGCGACGAAAATTGTCACGGTGACACGGAGGGGGGAAAATCATCGTCTGACTGTTTTACTCTCAAACGTTTGTCATTTCATCTCATCACAGAGATCGCGACTCTCTTGATATCTCCTTATAAACTATTATCATTAACGTTCTCTAATAAGATTCGCAGTTCGGCTCTTCATCTCCTTTTCCTTCTAGATAACGATATCCACACAATCCGTCATCTCTATTTTCCCGCAATCTTTTTTTTTATTATTTACAGACGCGTACGCTTTGCACAGAAACGATCTTGGGTTTCGCGCGAATCTTCTTCTTCTTCTTCTTTTTTTTTTGTTTTTTGTTTTACCAACAACGACAATCCGATTACATCGTAACAACCGTAACATTGTTCGTACAATAATATACGCTATACTCCAATAATCGGGATTGTCAAATCATTGCTTTTTGTTTATTTTTTTTTTATTCACCGCATTTTCGCGAATACAAAGCGTACGCGCTGCAGATCAGAAGCCTATATCTGTGTTCGTTTATCTCGAAAGTGATCGATTCTCTCGTCGCACGTGTCAACTTCGTTCTCGCGTCTCCGTAATTTCTTTTTTTTTTCCCGATTTCGCCCACTTTCGAGATAAACGACACACATATCTTCTTTCTTTCTTTTTCTCTCTCTTTCCTTTTCTTTTCTCGCAACATAATACGTTTCTATCACCGTTTCATTAAAGCAGACCAGAGTTTCGGGAAATAATCAGCTTACTACGGGGGGGGATATTCGGTTTATACATATATATATGTGTGTGTATAAGTTTAAACTTACGAAGAGAAACGTATATAAGAAGTAACAGACGCGAAGAAAAACGAACGTGGTGCGCTCGAAACGGGAGAGGAACACGCAGAAACGCGAGATGATGTCTTTTTTGTTTTTCTTTCTTGTAGCAAATTTGCAAAACAAAAAAAAAAAAAAAGATTAGCGTGACGAATCTTAAACACGTCACATTGTCCACAATCACATGAAGAAAAATAACAGAACAACACCGATTGTCGGTGTGTATTATTTTGCACATTTTAAGATTCATGTAAGAACGTCAAAAAGACTTGTATATAATTTTTATCAGTGTATATATGTGTGTGTGTGTGTGTGTACGTGTGTGAAAAATAACAGCCGATACTCAACGGTTTTAAGATAACGCTTTTTTGCTTCTCATTAAATAATCGACAATGCCATCGTTATATTGCGCAGCGAGTATTATTTTTTCTCGATTAGATATCATTCGCAAATACTCCCCTCCCGTGTGTGTTTGCGTGTGTGTTTGTGTAACAGGAAATTAAGACAAAAAAAAATAGTATCTTTTTCATGCGCTTATTTACGAAAGACTGGAAAGTTGCTTTCACGCGCGCAGACGCAAAACTTGGCGGCCATTTTCTATGAACGCTGAGAAACGGATTCGGAACGGATTTTTTTTTTTTTTTGCGGGCGCGCGAAAACAATTTTGATCCAAACCGACACGTTTTTCTGGCGTTCCTCTGTCTTCCAAAATTCATTGTCATTTGTGTTCAAATTACCGCGTCGTTATTGTTTATTTTGTCGTGTATTATTATTCACACGAACATTTATTACAAAAAAAGAAAAGATCAAACGACCAACCATAGGCAGTAAATTCACGAGAAATATTAATTAACACTTTCACAAATGTTCATTTTGTTTTTCGTCCCACGAATTAATCAATATATTAAGATCTGTTGTGTGTGTATATTAAAATTTAAAATATAGCAATAGTTTGTAATTTAAAAAATAGATGCTGTGGATTCACAGGAAAAACGTGTCTTCTTTGAAGGAGGAAGCTCGTTTGCTCTCGCACTCTTTTCTCTCTTCCTTTCTCTCCCTCTTTCTCTCTCTCTCTCTTTGTGTATGTATATTTGTGTTCTTTTTTTGTTCTCTACACACACTCACACACTCTCTTTCTCTCTCTCTCTCTTTGTGTATGTATATTTGTGTTCTTTTTTTGTTCTCTACACACACTCACACACTCTCTTTCTCTCTCTCTCTCTCTTTCTCTCTGTTTCTCACACACACGTTTCAGACTTTGGCACACACGCATTCTATCACACACTCAATCCTTTACGCACTCACGCATTCATTGTGTAATTTAGTGTTGTATACGTGTCTATTATGTGTCTGCAAATATTCTAAATAACTATACATGTAGTGGATTAAGGTACATGGTCTGATTCGCTCAAGTAGTCTCAATGCGATTAGTCTCGTCGCACCGGTTAAACAGTTTTTTTTTTTCCCTCGTTGTCGGCGGCGAAACTGCGACGACACGCGAAACGTTTTATAAATCTTCGTTACATCTTTTCTTCCGGGTGACTCGCGCGTTGCATCGAGCGCGTCGCGTAAAATTGTCTCCCGTCGTATTCGTCGCATCACGCGGCCGCTTTTCTAACGACGCGACGGCGGAAGGAGGTAGAATAAAAGGAAATATTGTCACCGACGAACCCCTCGAGAAATTATTATCTCGAGATGTGCGCGAAATTTCAACAACAAGTCGCGAGAAAAGCTTCTTCCTCCCGCCGCGACGATAATCTCTCTTTCTCCGCACACGTGCTATTTTAAGTTTCGCTTCGAAATGTCTTTTTAAACCTCACAGTTCACGCGTGCGGCGAACGCGTGAGCGCGCGAAACGCACCGATATTATTGCACCAGAAAACGCACCGTGTTTCACCGGTGAAGAGACGATTGCTGGCTTCGCACGTCACGCGTACACACACGAGAGAAAGAGAGAGAACGCGAATACGCTACCGATCGGTATAATCGGCAGTGAATTTCCTTGGCAGTTAATTTGCCAGAAACGCCCGGCAAATTAAAACCCACGTGTACGTGTAAAGAAATGTCAATTTACATATATATATAAATATAATACATTACACTCTCGTCTGCGTGTACGTGCGCGATGCAGTTTTCTAGAGCAAGAGTCTCTGATACCACAGAAGAAATTGTACGTCGGCGCTTCGCGCGCGCGCTCGCGCGATTCCGCGACACAAATCGCACATTTATTCTCGCGAGGCAACGAAAACGCCCGCGAAAAACGAGATCGGAGTGCGTGCCTCGAACACAATTTTTACAATGTAACACTTAACATTTAATTTAAAAAAAAAAAAAAAGAGAAAAAAAAGACGAGAAGATTTCGTCTGTCGGACGAAGACGCGAGCGATACGAGAAGAGAGACGCGAGATAATTTAGCAACGAACGTAAAATGTACAATGTGAGAACTCGCGGGAGAGAAGAAAGAAAAATCGAAGGAATGTGTTTCTCTCTCTCTCGTCGAGGAGTTAATTAAAAAATATTCGATTAAAAAATACCGGTACGCGCGATAGAAAAATTGCGCGTCGTTCGTTCGCAAAACGTGCGTTGTACCGCGAAACGTGCTTTTTTTTTTTTTTTTGTTTTGAGTTTGGTACAACGATTTTATAAATATTCTCTCGGACCCTTTCTTTTCTTCTCTCCTTCTTTTTATTTCTCCTTCGTTTCGCTCTGTCTCTCAACTTAATTCTAAATATAAGGCTTATTTAATTAATCGACATAGTGTTTCGCTGCGGCTGAGTGTTGTGTCCCTGTTTTACGTTACACACCGCTCGGTATGATAAGACGAGATGCGAATGTTCGCACAACGACGGAAAAGATTTTTTTTTTTTTGTTGTTGTTGTTCTCAGATCTCTCGAAACTTTGTTCTCTCGTTGGCGAAACGAGAGACGGAAAATTCGAGGGTAGGTATCGCCGCGAGAGCGATTGCGTTTCGAACACGCCGGTCTTCTGTTCGATGAGCTTCAATATCGAGATTGCGCGCATTTAAAAACAAAAAAAAACTCTTAATTGCTCGTTTCGATGATTAATTGTAAAAAGTTTCTTTCATTTTCCGCACGCGGAAAATGTTTTTTTTTTTTTTATACAGAAAAATTACAAGACCTAGTTGCGATAATCAATCAAGCGCGCTCTGCTGTCCGATTCACAATTTTCCTTCGTAAAAACATTCCAGGATTTAAAAAGGAAATGAAGCGAATTAGGAAGAACCTTGCGTGCGAAAATAACATCGATATGTAAAAAACCGATTGTTCGTCCTCGTGACCGCGAAATTTAAAAGCCCTTACACACTAGTTACAAGATTAAAAGATGCGATAAAAAAAAAAAAAAAAGTAATACTCTGTGCGAGAAAACGTTATTCGCATTACGTGCCGATAAAAGAAATATATTTATTTATTTCCTGTTCACCATTCGTTCTAATCTTTGCTGGAAACAAAATGGAGTACCTTAGAGAGGATTTAAGAAAGAGCCTATTCAAAATTAAAAACTAATTAACTCAGAAACTAAATCTCTCAGAAAGCAACTTCTCCTGGAAGTCCCGAAGCAACACTTTGTACGTTTCTAAACTGCATTTTCTCGAGTTTTGGTTAAAAGAACATTCACATAAAAATTTGAAAGCTTCTCCTTCATTTAATTACCACCACCACATGTTATTCTCAAGTCAACGAATTAAATTAAAAAAACCTTCGAATTTCTCTGAAAAATACTCGACGAAAAATATCAGCAAAATGGAGGGAACGTTCTAACTCTCTGCATTCAAATGAAATCTCAGATTTATCGGACGAAAAAAAAAAAATACGAACAAATTATCCGAACACACATGGATTGTCGGCTTTGTCGTAACGAAGCGTGTTAACGTAACAAAGCGAAACGTCCGCGAATTTCTCATCATCGATCGTCTCTTCGCCTGTTTGCTTAATTAATTCGACCCCTCGAAAATTTGCTTAATACTTCAAGCCTATTGCGATTTTGTACGTTACAATATCACAATTGTATAGGTTCACCGATAAATGGGTCGTCCCGCGCGTCCACGTACGTAATCCTCGAACGAAAAGAAGACGAACCTTTTTGCTGTTTCTGCTGTTTCTTTTTTTATGTTTGTTTTGTTCTTTTTGTTTTAGAAATTACACATAAATGACAACACGATGATTTTCGTCTTTTTGTCGCAGAAACAACAGTAAATTTCTAATGTAAATTTCTAACAGTAAATTTCTAACGTCATCAGACGACGTACATGCCGAGCATTAGACGTGCGTCTCTCGTTCAAAGTACACATTATGTACATATATATTTTCGTAAAATGCACGCTTTTCTCACCGGGAGAAGGGAGGAGGATGGGCGATCACCGCGGCGGTGACGGTCCCACCCTCGAAAATCGATCCGCCTCCATCGGGACGACCCAACCGCACGTCGGCACATTACAGACTACGACTTATTACAACTACTTACATTTGTGAAGTTTGTCTTGCGACGACGGATCGCGTTCTTTACTTTTTTTTTTTTTGTTTTTTTCTTTAAAGCCGCGAGTCGGATCACGCTCGAATCGTCTTCCTCCTCTTCGACCTTTTTTTTTCTCTCTCTCTCTCTCTCAATTGCCATCGAAATTAGCCGTTTCCGAGCGCGTCGATTTACACCGATAGGTATGTACGTATCGAACCGTCGAAAATTCACGTTGAGTAATATTAAAGCGTGAAGAATACGGATGGGATTTTGCACCTTTTCGTTTTTTTTTTTTATTTTTTATTTTTTACACGAAGAGCGAGAGAAAGAGAAAATTAATATTTCTCTTTCTCTGTCTCTCTCTTTCTGTTTCTCTCCTGCTGACCCGCTTGCGCTATTGCAAATCGTTCTTATCCGAGTACTAAAACACGTGCCTCCTTACTCATTAAACTTAAATTACTTTGCATTGTTTCTCTATACTTATATAGTTCTTATATAATATATATATATAATATATATATATGTCGCGCACATACACGCGTGCAGGTATACATATATATGTGTATAGATATATATATACGTATCTCTTATATTGGTTGATTATATCAATTAAAAGTTACTGAATCCTATCCAAATTATCATCATCATCATCACAGCTAATTTCTATATTATAACGATTCCCTTCCTTTCACTCACTTATTTACTGATTTAATGGTTTTTATAGCTCTTCCTGCGTTTATCCTTCTCCTTTTGTTTGCTCATTTCCGTGAAAATCTACTTCCGGTTGCGCGACGTAGAAAATCAGCAAGAAAAAATTCGAGACAGAAGAATCTCTGAAAATTCCTCGATTTAAAACACGCGCTCACTCGCATTGTGATATTCCAGTTCTTTTTGTTTTTTTTTTTTTTTTTAATGAGCTTTCCAACAGAGAATCGGACAAAAACGCCGTTACCGGACGATTCGCGTACTTTTTATGTACAATTTTACATAGAAGGACTTAAAAATTTTATCATTTTCGCGTTTATACAATCGGTATTTACATTTTTCCATTTTCATTTTCCGTTTACGTTTTACGCCTTTCACTCTCTCTCTTTCTTTCTCTTTCTCTCTGTCTTTCTTGTACACCGGACGGCAGTGTTTGATTCGTTTTCCTTCTCATCCAAGGATTTCATCGCAAATCCCGAGGATCCTGACGGATCTATCCGGTCTTGAACTCGCGTACCGTCAAGATTGAACATCTCCGCTTTTTTTGTTTTATAATTGCGCGTTGATTTTTAAGCTTAATTAATGTGACTGGCTCGCGAAACTCGTTACCGAACGAACCGGCTATGAGGACTCACTCTCGAGTGACAGCGATCGTATGACATTTTGAGATAGCATTTGAACCTAATTTTAAACCACCGCGAAAACACAACCGAAGTTATTTGCTCTGACACTCGCAACATCTGCAAACGCTGTTATTCGTAAAAAAAAAAAAAACGTACAGATTTACAGAAAATGATAAAAAAAAAAAGAACCAAAAGAAAAAAAAACAAAACAGATTGAATCTCTTCGGAGAACAGATTTGTCGATATCAGGCATTAAAAATAATCGAGTCAAATGTTAATATGCGCACATTGACCGGAGTACCGCATGCAAGCAAAGTTTAAATTTAAGGATTATTTATATCCGTGTAAATATACGTTCGAGAAAACGTGCGAACTTGAAACGTGCCAAATTTTCTTTGTGACGTAAATACTGTAGTACAAGGAGTATGGTTGTTTCAATAGACTCAAAATATAATAGAATCAAAACGTGTCAAACAGATACACATTTAAAATTGATTCGAGATACAATCTAGAATTTATATATTACACTAACAAGTAACTTAAGTTTTTGATTAAAAAAGAAAAAAAAACACTCCGCAAAAAAAACAATATACATAATAATATATTTAAATCTTATTGTTTTAAATGCACTTCAGCACTTGTAAAATTTTGTCGTTGCAAGTGTTCAACACTTGCTCGAGCTTTTGTACTTTCGAAACTATAATTCTTGAAAACTTAAAATCTACTCGACGTGCATGTGTGCGTCTTGATCATTGGTCCAAGTCTCGGAGAGAATGTATGGTTTTGAACTTATAGAACTCAAGTTTAGCAGTAACATGTGTGAAATAAAATACTTCCTGAAGTAAAAAAAACATCTCGAGTTTCAAGTTCGGATTTTACATCTTGCTGCCAAACTTGGAAAAAAAAATGCGACGAAAATCGAAAACTAAAAAAAAAATAAAAGGTCACACAATGCAAATCAATTGCATTTCTTTTCGAACAATTTATCGAAGTATATATAGCATCAGGTTCCCGTAACTATCATTCCTTGTACTATCAGGATCAGTTCAATTTTGAGACGCAATTTCTGTGGTGAGACGCAACTTCTATAAGTTCTATAAGAGCTTTCCTTGAATTTGCATATTCAAACGAGATATTTATATATGTATAAATATATGTGTATATATACATACATACATACATACATATATATATGATACAATTACATACACGATCGCTATATGTAGACGTTTGCTTTGCTACAGTCGTAGTCTCCCAAGAAAAAGAAAAAAAATTTGCTTAACGTAAATGTACATTCATTATCGTATATAAAAATAATATTCAGGCTGGCGAATTTTGTAAATTCTCGCGTATATAAATCGAATTGCGAAGAAAAAGGAAAACCAGTCCTCTCTCTCAAACTTTCTCCTCTTTCGTATCTCGAGATGTCGATTTTCTCCCAAGCCACGATATTGTAAACACCGAGAAGGAAAAAACAAGAAGTTTCGCGCATATTCAAGTTTATATTCGACAAGCATATCTCTCTCCGTTGTCCCGTGTTCGTGTAGAAACTTTCAATAATTCTCGACGTCATAAATCAAATCGATCGGCGTTGCTTAAACGCGCGCGCGCGCGCGTGTGTGTGTGTATGTTGATGATCTGTTTGTAGATACCGTTAGTAGAGATTTCACCTTATACAAAACTTATAGATACGAGAGCTAGCAATTGAAAAATTGCAAATTGCATACATTGTAACATTTGTCATTTTAAACACACACACGCGCACACTCTTCCCGAATCAATCTCGCGTCATTTATTCATTCATTCGAACATTTACACACACTCTCTCTCTTTCTCTCTCTTACACACACAAAATTCACACTTACACACATCCTAAGCCTAAGTCGATCTTTAGGTAATCACTTATCGAAAAAACGAATTGACGAGAGGAAGAAAAAGTGGCACATATACTCCGTTGCGAGACATTATATTGCGATTAAGAAACTTTTTTTTTTTTAAAAAAAAAAAAAAAAAAAAAAAAAAAAAAAAAAAAGTGCAGAAGATAATATAAAACTATTACGTCAAATATCACGT